CAGATACTGTCAACTTTTGTTTACCTATGTAGCTCTGACTTTGAGACCGGGATTAGAGGACCTGAAAGAACAGGGCCAACTACAGTCTAATGCTGTACACAGCCTTACTTTAATTTTAGTGTACTTTCATACACGGCTGTAAGGAAGAGAGTAAAGATTCAAGGAAGGTTGTTGGAGTTCAAAACAACAGGATCAGCAACACATGATCAGGAAAACATAAATGTCAATAAGCACATATTAAATATTAACAGAGCAGTCCTTTCCCAGGACTTTCTCAGGACAGACCAATTGAACCACATTTGCCTGACATGTACTATAGACTGTATCTGGGAATGCATGAAAGCAAGGCGCAAGGGCCATATCTAGATTCAGGGCAAACTAATTAGATTGGGTTCTATAGCTATGTTGTGACACCCAGAAAGAATAAGCATGTCTTAAAAGTTGGATGTCAATGTTTGTCATAGGAGACAAGGCATCAGATCCAAGAACAATCCCAGGACAAATGCACCTAAAGTAAAAGCCCTCTGCTTTTTATTTTTTCCTCCTGAAGCCTCTCTCATGGTTCACTAAGGTTGGACAATCAGGCAGGAGGAATGGGTCCCAAAATCAGGCAACAAAGTCAGAGTCAAAGACACTATTCTCACTGCTAGGACTCCCATGTGAATACCAAATCACACAACTATAACATATATGCAGAGGACCTAGGTTGGGCCCACATAGGTTCCCTTGTCGGTTCAGTCACTGTAAGCTGTTATGATCCCAAGTTAGTTGGTTCTGTGGGTTTTATTATGATGCTCTTGACACTACTGGGTCTTACAATCCTTTCTCCAACTCTTATGCAGGCTTTCTAGAGCCCCACCTAATGTTTGGCTGTGGGTCTCTGTATCTGTTTCCATCAGTTGCTATGTGAAGCCTCTCTCAGTTGGGCTAGGCACCAATATGATCACTAGGAGTCATTTCATTGACTTTTTTTTTGCCATTCGTGTTTTGTTCTATCCTGGGTTTCTGGGGTATCCCACTTCTGGGTCCTTACTCTCTCAGTAGGTGGGGTCCCTCTCAGTGTATGGGTCTCCAACTGTGCCTGTCATCAGTTGGTCACTCTAACAGTTTCTGGGCCATCTTTACCCCTAGCACATCATGTAGGCAGGACAAATTGTAGGCTGAATGGTTTGTGGCTGGATTGGTGTCCCAGACCCCTGACTGGAAGTCTTGCCTGATTACAGGAGATGGCTGGTTCAGGCTCCATGTCCCCAAATGCTAGGAGTCACTCTCATATATTCCTGGGACTTTCCATTGCTCTGGGTTTCTAGCTCATCTCAGATATGCACCCAGATTCCAGTTGTCTCTCCCAGAACTCTCTCCTTCCATCCTCTCCCCACCTGATCCCTATTGTTCCCATTCCCTTTCCTCCTTCTAGATCTCTCCTCCCATCCACTGGTAATGCCCTTTCTATTTCTCTTCAGTGCTCTTCATGCATCCTTTTCTTGCCATACTTGATACTTAGCTTCTCTGGGTCTGTAGGTTGTATCATGGTTATCTTTATGATTAATATGTGCATATGAGTGAATACATGTCATATTTGTCTTTCTGGGTCTGGGTTACCTCACTGTGGATGATATTTTCTAGTTCCATCCATTTGCCAGCAAGGTTCTTGATGTCATTGTTTTTAACAGTTGAGTAATACTCCATTGTGTACATGTACCATATTTTCTTTACCTGTTCTTCAGATGAGGGGCAGCTAGGTTGTTTCCAGCTTCTGGCTACTATGAATAAACCAGCCTGTTTTTTCATAGAACCCAAGATCAGCAGCCCAGGAGTGGCACCACCCACAAGATGCTGGATCCTCCCACATCAATCATCAATCAAGAAAATGCCTCACAGTATTGCCTAACTAGCCAATCTGAAGAGGACATTTGTTTCAATGGATGTTCCTACTTCCCAAATGACTCTAGCTTGTATCAGGTTGACACAAAACTCCCTAATACAAATTGTAAAAACAAAACTTTCCTCAACTCTTTAACAGTTCAGAAAGTTTGCAGATGATCCTCTATACCACACAGGAGAAAAGGAGGGAAGAGATGTTGCTCGGTGGCACAGAAATTACTGGGATGGAGTCAAGTACCCATACAGCTAAAGTCAAGTGAAATTTATGCCAGTAAGCTGACAAGAAACGACAGTCATAACACCAGTTGCTGAAACAAGGATGAATTAGTTGGACACACTCAATGGACTCTGATAGTCAAGGATTCACTATCATATATTTTGTTAATGAGCCTAAATATGATATCAAACGAGCAACTTTTAGAGATTAAAACACACGTGCAAGGACTATTTTCTACAGTAACAAATCTCCCAGATCTCTTGCATAAAGTCTTATCTTAAAAAGAAGGAAAGCCTAACAGTAAAACCTCATAATGACCTGAAAGAAGAAAATTAAGGGTTCTGATTTTCAAGGAGAATGCTAAGAATAAACCCTACTCCTGGGCCTTCATGTCAATGTGAAAAAATGGGTTGGTGTGTTGTTATAAAGATTATGGAACATGCCAGATTTCCTGACACCAACTCAACTATGTAGTGTCAATTATTACTGTATCCTGTGATTCTCTGTGACCCACTCTTGCTACATTTTAATTAGTGAGTAAAGGATGTGGAGGTTAGATGTTTGTGGAAGTAGACACCAGATATTGTCATTTTGAATACAGTATTTATGCATCCATGCCCTATCCTGTGAACAGTAAAGACAGCATTTGAGAAGGATGGCACTGTAGGCTGTTGAAAACATATTAGTATAACACTCTCTTTCAAACCCATTATCCTGGATACCAAATTTTACTTATTGCCAATTATGTTTTATTTTCTGTAACATCTCATAGTTATTAAAAAAAAGAAACAGTTTCTAAATCTTCTTTGTTCAGTACTTGATGACATGCAGATTAAAGTGACAATATGGATAAGAAACAAAAAAAGATGCACATAATTGCATCACATAAAATTTAGAGGGGTGGAAAGTGACTTGAGGAGGTGGGTCGAATTTGAGACTTTGACCATTGTGCCCCCATTGTGTATGATATATTCCAAAATACCTATGGATGCCTGACACTCCAGATATCATTGAACCTTTATAAACTGATATTTCCCATTCAAATGTTCATATAAAAAGTTTAATTAACAAAGTAGACACAATAAGATATTAATAAACAACCAATAAAACCTTCTAAAAGTATGTGAATGTGGAGACCTGTGAAATGGCTCAATGGATAAAGTGTTTGCTGCCAAGACTGACAACATGAGTTCTATATCCTGACTCCACTTAATGGAAGAAGAGAACTGACTCCTCCAAGTTGTCCTCTAATTTCCACTCATGTACACACACATAAATAAAAGTGTAATTATTTTTATGTGAATGTGTTTCTCCCAGTCTTCTTCCTTCTTTCTCAGAATAGCTTCCTGAAAGAATGGCTCAATGTGTTTGGCCTATTACATTCTGGTCAATCAGAACATGTTTTCTGTTCCTATCTTCCATATGTAAATGTGATGCCTTTTACATCTTAATTAAGAGCTTATCTTGTACTGTGGCCATAATACAAAGCTTGAAGTACAATAGCAAAATTATCATGAATGTTTTCCCTTTTTCACAATTTCACAGATAGATTTTTTTTTATCATTTATCTTAGCAATCTCTGCATATAATTTTCTTATCAAACCAAGGGCTTTCACTTTTTCTTTTTAAATTAAACACTTCAAGCCTCCCTTTTGGTTATGTATTTTTATCACAATTACTATGGTAGTCATTATGGGAAGGAGTCATTATTAAGTTAAATAATGGCTCCTTGAACACAAGCACTCCAAAGCCATCAATCATCCTGTCCTGATGAACTAAGAGCCATAGGAAGTAAAGGGCAGGAATCTTGTTGCACACCCTCTTAAACCTTTCCCATTCATAATCCTTTTCTTTGGGAGGTTTGCCTTTACATAATAAGAGAACTCAAATGTATTTACTCAAAAAAAATTAGGTCATAGTGGATTATTATTATTTTATTATTATCAGCATAAAATTTCTCTTTCTAAGTTTATTATTCTTTCCTTCAAAGAAAACAATCAAGCAATTAAAAACTCATATATACCTTGAATTTTATGATTTTTGTTTTTGGCCAAATATATCTGTGACCTTTAACTCAGAGGTCTAAACAAATTAGAGAACCTCTAGTTATAAACCTCATGGCTCATTTACTTCCTTACTTTATAGTAAGTGGCACAAAGCACTGACTAGCCTTGTTAACAAGCAGCATATGGCTTCAAATTAGTTTGTGAATTTTCAACTGTGATTTGCATTTCTCAAGTGCTCTGCCTTGAATCCCGAGACATATACTTATTTTATACTACAGGTAAAGTAGTAAATAAAGACCATAATTATTACTATCATTAGTAGACAGAGATATCCTAAGTTGCCCTCAAACTCATTAGTAGCTAAGAATGGCATTGAACTTTTGATCCCTCTCTTTCCACCTCCTCATTTCTGAGATTACAGGCCAACATCACACCATTTACACTGTGGGCTTCCTGCAAGCCAGGCAGGCACTCTTATCAAATGAGGTGACACCCTGTATTGAAGATTCTTTAAAGAAAGCAGATTCGTGTGCATACTAACATGACTGAAAGAAGTGCCGGGCAGTTTCTAAGACAGGTGATGAACCTCTTTGGTCTTTGAGGAAGGGTACACATTGGTTCACGGTTTTGTTGGGTATGCATTTACTATCCACAGCTTTTCAAACTAACCCTTTGCAAAAGGAATAAAAATTACTCAAGTTTCCGCACTTCTCCAGGCCAAGTTAAATACCCCGCCATCTCCGGGCCGCCCGCCCGTCATCCAAGGAGAACCATACACAAAACTATTACGCGAGCGCTACTCTCCTCCCTTATCTGTCCATGGCGTCACCGGAAATGCCTGCTTGTGACTCTCAACGGCCCGCCCTCTCGCGCTGGGCGCCGGAAGCAAAGCAGACGCGAATGTGCGCCCGCTTCCGGGCCCGGACGCCATTTTCAGCGGTTGCTTTTTGCTAGGGCTAGTGGTCGGCCGGGACGATGAGCTACGAATACCATCAGAGCTGGAGCCGCGACGCGGGGCCGCGGGGCTCCGGCCAGGGCTCTGGCGGCGGCGGCGGAGGGAGCCGGGGCCCCGGCGGCGGAGGAGGCGGAGGGGGCCGCGGTGGTCGGGGACGGCATCCCGGACACCTGAAGGGTCGCGAGATCGGCCTGTGGTACGCCAAGAAGCAGACGCAGAAGAACAAGGAGGCTGAGAGGCAGGAGGTATGGAGGTCGAGGCGGGGCGCGTTTGCCCGCTGCTCCCGCCGAGCCCGACCCTTGGCTGCGGTTGCTCGAGCTAGGTGCAGCCTCAGCCGAGCCTCCGGTAACGGGTGTGCGGCTTCCTAACCCGAGCCATCACTCCTGCAGCCCTGGTGCATGCACGCTCTGCTTAAGGGCTTGAGAACTGGGCATGGATGCTAACTTCAGATTCCAGCCGAAGCCGACTTTATTGGGGATGTCATCATTTCCTTTAGAAGACTCACTGTCACTTTTACGTTCCTTGCGTGGAGCGGTCAACAAAAGCAGTAACACGCTCTTAAAATGTAGATCTCCGAGGAAAAAGTAGTTTACCTAGTAGTAGTATTAGCATTCAAATGCATCACATGCTCGTCTTTTTTGTTTGTTTGTTTGTTTTGTTTTCTTTTCTTTTGTTTTCATTTCTGTATCTGAATTTTCTGTTGAATAGTAGCTGCTCTTTAGGAGGGAAACTTACCGTCCCTGAAAGGAAGACTCTGTAGGGCAGTATTTCACTCATCTCATAAGGGGATTGTCAGTTTGATTTGTAGATCTGTAGTATAGGAAGCATCATGTTTTTTGAATGACCTGTTATCGTGAAAGAAATAAATCATTGCAGAGAAGCTTTTGGGATGGCATTTTAGTGACTTAATGAGAAGCTCCAGTTATAATAGATAGGAAATATAATTAAAACATAAACTATTTTATTCTTCCCCTTAATAACCTCATTTTTATAGGTTTCTTGGGACTTTTAAAATTTATCTTAATACCTTTTTACATTCTTCTATTTGAAGAACAAGCTTTTTTTTTTTTTTTTTTTTTTGGACCCTGTTGCATACATGGTTTTTGAATGCTGCTATGGGGAGCGGGACACATTCTAATAGCACATTCTAATAGCAGGAAAGAAATACATAAACAAGTAAGTTAAATAAGTGAAAGTTATTTTCTTCCATATGTACGAAGGATGCACTGAACTTATATGCATTGGATATTAATATGTAGTGCAGGCTGACCCAATTGCTGGGATTTCATGTGTGTGAGTCTCAGAGCTGGGCTTTTATTTAGTGAAACTCTTGACTCAGACCCCATTCCCAAACTTCCATTTTAGCAAATCTCAGTGCCGTTTATCCACTTGTCAGCTGGAATTGAATATTGACTTTTGTCTTTACTTTTGGCAGATCTGTTTGCTCTGCTTTCTGGGTTTGATCAGTATTTTGTTTTCTTTCCATAGCCTCTAAACTACTCTTTGAATTATATCCCCTTCCCCCCCACACACACACACACAGGTGGTCTCTTAAAAGGGACCTTTAGGTCATTTTATTCTTTACTTTGCAACTTGATCATTGAAGCCATGCTACCTCTGCCATTTGCTCATTGGTGTTTTCTGGGAATCCTGGGAATATGGGTTTAACATAGCTCCTTGAGTTGATCATTCTTAGCTCAAGCTGAGTCTGATATAATCATGGTCCCATTAACATTTTTGTTTCTGCTCTTTATTAAGTTTTATACTATTCTGCTCTCTAAAATATGTCATTGAGTTATCCTTAAATGTGTTTTTCAGTTGTGTAATTCTTCTTTTCACCAGATTCAGCTTGTTATAGTTGTATATTTTATGTTTAAAAACAACAACAACCTAGTACTTACAAAATGAAAATACTCCAGTGGAGCTTCATTATTCTTTCAGCAGATATGTAAATTAATTTTTATGATTATCCTTAAATGTGTTTTTCAGTTGTGTAATTCTTCTTTTCACCAGATTCAGCTTGTTATAGTTGTATATTTTATGTTTAAAAACAACAACAACCTAGTACTTACAAAATGAAAATACTCCAGTGGAGCTTCATTATTCTTTCAGCAGATATGTAAATTAATTTTTATGAACTGATGTCTTAGTCATAATGTTCATAATATATAGTACCCAATTTACAGAGAGGGAGAAGTGTCTAGGGGCCATAGACAGAATACATTGTTAGTATATAGAGAATATGGACTTTGTATTCAAATGAAAGAATCTTAAAAGAGACAGTTTGATGATAGTAGGCATACAAATGAGGATTTCAGGATGGCTCTGATAACTCAGAGCAGTGGTTCTCAACATCCCTAATGCTGTGACACTTTAATACAAATCCCTCATGTTGTGGTGACCCCCCCAACCATAAAGTTATTTTCATTGCTACTTCATAACTGTTAAGAATCATAACGTAAATGTCTATTTTCTGGTGGTCTTAGGTAACCCCTGTCAAAGGGTTTTTGGACTCCAGGGGTTGAGACCCATTGGTTTAGAACCATTGACCTAGGGAAATATTGGGGATTAGAGTTACCATTTGGCAGTACAAGCACCCATGGATATTATTGAAGTGGGGGTACATAATGAAAAGAACACTTAGTTCTGAAGTTCACAGATCTTGGTTCTTAAGCTTGAATAGACATGGGGTTCACCTGGTACCCAGTCAAAATATATGATTGAGACAGGGCCTGAAAGAGTCTGCTTTGTTAACAGGACTCCAAATGATGCTGTACTGCTGGTCTGTAACATGTGTGACACTGATAATTAGGAGAAGAGAAGGCTGGGGGAAAAAAATCAGAGGTGGAATATCCAGAGGTGTGAAGAAGAGTATATAAATTGAAAGTGGCAGGCAGTGCATGGGTGTCATAAAGATATTAATGAAAGCCAGCTGTGGAGATGGGTTAGTAAGACATTGCAGTAGGGCGTTGAGAAATGGAAGAATAAAGAAATGAAGCATTTGGCAGCAGGTTTGTTGGAAAGAAGGAAAACTAGAACATTAGCTTTAGGAGTGGAAAAATTGAAGTGATGCTTTTACTTTTTATTTTTGGTGATGAGATTGAGCATTAAAGACTGTTTATTTTCTTTCTGTTTGGGACCTGAGAGTAAGACACAAACATGCTCTTCTTGCTAGCCATCTTTAGAGCTGATTTTATAGACATATGGTAAGCCAAAAGGTCTAGAGGGACACACAAAAATATTTCTGTAAATTTGGCCTAGGATTAGATGTAATTTTATGTTTGTATTAAGAGATAACAATTTCTTTTTTTACAAAATAGAGAGCTGTAGTACACATGGATGAACGACGAGAAGAGCAAATTGTGCAGTTGCTGAATTCCGTACAAGCTAAGAATGATAAAGATTCAGAGATATCCTGGTTTGCTCCTGAGGATCATGGGTAAAATAAACATGTTCTCATAAAGAATAGCAAAGAGTAAAAATTTGTTATAGCACTGGCTAGACAAAAGAAAAGAAAGAAAAAGAAAACTACCATCTTTAGTCTTTTCCCTGAGTCACATTTAGTCTTTTTAAATGTGTTGCAAATAGATTTGAAGAAAGACAAAAATGATTTGTTGTTTTATTTGAGACAGAATTTCTCAGTGTGGCCTTGGCTGTCTTGAAACTCACTCTGTAGTTCAGGATAGGCTTGAACTCAGAGAGTGCCTGCTGCTTCTTCCTGAGTGCTGGGAATAAAGGTGTATGCTCCTACACCTGACTCCAAAAAAGAGAAATTTTAGAGTGAGATATTGTTACTTGTGTTTCCTTCCTGTGGGACAGATCTACATAGAGTTAAATTGCTGCTGTTTCAGATGGTTGTCAAACCATACTATTTATAGGAAAAATTAGAAGTATTTTGGAAACTATGTACTTTAGCCTTTCATTTACATTTCAGAAAGGGCAACAGGCAAAAAAAGAAGTTGTAAAATAAACCAAAGCCTTGAAAAATCAAGAAAAGAAAAACAGTAGAAATGACTGCAAAGAATGAATGACGGTGTGGATTTTAATTTCTTAAGTATCTCAGGGAATTAATTATCTGGTAATAATACATGTAAAGATAGGGAAAAGTCCAAATGTATTATAAGATTTCAGCTTATTTCATAACAACATTGTTTTGCTTTCAGTGTTGGAGATTTTGAAGTATTTGGAGATCATAATGCTTTGTTTTGTTCCAGGCCCTGAGTTGCTCTTCATCTGGTCCTTTTGCTCTTTATTCTGTTGTTATAGGTATGGTACAGAGGTGTCTTCGGAGAAAAAGGTTAACTCAGAAAAGAAATTTGACAACCAGGAAAAGAAATCACTGAACCAAGAAAAAAAGACTTTTAGGATCACAGACAAATCATACATTGACCGAGATTCTGAGTACTTATTGCAAGAAAATGAGCCAAATGTAGGCTTAGACCAGCAATTATTGGAAGATTTACAAAAGAAAAAAACTGATCCTCGGTATATAGAGATGCAGGTAATGGAAAACCAATGGTGGAACATTAGTCATTGTTGTCCCTCCCTTGAGAGAAGTGGGATTATGGTTGAAGGTTGAGTCCTTGGTGTGGTTGAGTGCCATTCCTCAACAAGATACCTCTGTGCCAAGACTTTCTTTAGTAGCAGAAAAAAACAGGGTAGAAATTCCATACAACCCATGGTGGTGTATCTCATTCACAGATGCATATGTGTTGAGAGGAAATGCTTGATAATCTAATGCCTTTGGGAACACAGTCTTCTAGGCCAGTCTAGTGAGAAATGTGAATTCAGACAGTTAAAATGTCAGAATTGTGACATTTCTTCCAGCTCTGGATGCCTTCCTTTTATAGATCATAAAATTTTAATTTTCAAAAACTAGATCCTTTTATATTTACTAGCATTTAACTGTACTGCTGCAAAAGGGACTGAAGTTGTACGAATTATTTGTGTCAGACAAGCTATTTACAGTCCCCTACCCCAATCAATACATAAAGCTATGATTTCTGGGTGTTCTAGATATAGATATGATAAAATCTTCAAATGTGCACAATACATATTTAGAGAGATATCAAGGGTATCCTGGGGTTCATATCTTCTAAATATATATTGCCATTTTGAGAAAGCACACTATCAAAAATCTGTGAGAAAGCATTATTAACCCATTGGCTGCTTTGATCAAGGTAATTTCTGGGGTCCAAATTGTGTAGTTGTTTGGTTACTGTCTCTCTTTCCATTGTATAAGGCACACAATTTAGACAGATGACTGTTTTAGCTTTTAAAAAAAAAGAAAAAGAATCTTCTTTCCCAATCACTAATAAATGTTTCATTTCTATTAAAAATTAGCTGTATTTAAAATTCAGCACTTTGGCCTTTTTAAAAAAGGGTCTCCCACTGTTTTACAGTTCATCAAGTAAGCTAGATTGGCAGGCCAGTAAGCCCATTTATTCCTTAATGTTAGCACAGCACACCTGGCTCTTGTTTCTAATGTTGGTTTTGGGGGTTAACTGCAGGTCTTCATGTTGGCAAGGCAAGCACTTTACCTATACTGGAGTTATTCCCCTAGTTCTTAAAATGCTCTGAAGATTTATTTGTGTGTATCAGAGAGAATGAGAATGTCTGTAGGCAGCACCAGGGCTTGTGAGTGCAGGTGCCCATGGCGGCTAAAAAAGGGCGTGGTGTTCTCTTGAGCTGAAAATTTTAATCCATCACATTGACTGAAAAAAACCCGTACCATAAATGTGTTAATAATGTCCTTAATTACCTAGAACATTACCAACTTTAATTATTATGTATTGATACTAGTGTTTTGGTTTTTTTGAGATAGTGTTTCTCTGTGTAGCATTAGGGCCTGTCCTGGAACTCATGCTGTAGACCAGGCTGGCCTTGAACTCACAAAGATCATCTTCCCTCTGCCTCCTGAGTGCTGGGATTAAACTCATGTGCCACCATTGGACAAATACTAGTTTTTAAATTAAAGCCTCTTGTTTTTCAATCACAAAGATGTTGAAACTACCTTGTTTCTATGCTGCTGAAGTTGTTGTCCCTATTGCCAGATGCATTTATTTGAACATAAATTCTGGTACTTCTTAGTATGAATATAGGGTTCAGAATAGTTTTGGAAATTCACAAGAAAATACACACTAATCAAATAATTTGCTCTTTTTGATAATCTGCTTGCTATGTACCAGATTTTTCAAGAAGCTGTGTGTGTAAAAAAACTTACTTTTATATTTATAAAGATTTATCAATGTGCTCTGTGGCAACCCTATGAAATATAACCCATGAGGTGTTGATGCTCAGAAATCGACTAACAAAAATTACACTTCTGGCCAGGTGATGGTGGCACATGTCTTTAATCCCAGCACTGGATCTCTGTGAGTTTGAGGTCTGCTTGGTCTACAAAGCTACACAGAGAAACTCTGTTTAAAAAAAATAAAATAAAATAAAATACTAGCTTTTCTATGATCATGATCATTGTATCTAGTGCCTGTTGCATTAGTAAATAGTGTATGAATAAATAGGGAAAAGAATGATTGAGACATCAAATCTATGATGACTATTAGAATACAAATAGGATTAATGTGATAAAAGAATTTAGAGGTTGTTACTGTATTACTAGGTCATGGGTCATGAAGCATTTTCTAACCTTGAAGAACACACTTCTAGTAAATGTCTTGTGATTCTTTGTAAGTCATAGTATTTCACATATACTATAAAATAATTAAAATATTCTTTGTCTAACACATTTACCTATGATCTGTCCTGATTATAATTTGGTGATGTTTATTCTGAGAATGTTTTTTTGTTTAAATTTCAGCATTTCAGAAAAAAATTGCCTTCATATGGAATGCAAAAGGTAAAAAATACTTTGTACTCTTTGATTTGCACAAAAGTTAACCATATTTTTAAAAAAAAGCTCCACATTGAGAAGGAATAAAAGTTAGTGAACCTTCTTCCATGGGGCCGTTAAATGAATGCTTTAGAGCTCTTAAAAAATATATGAAGCAGTTTTCTGTTATTGTCCAAAGACTATTAAATTGTTTGGAGTCTAAAAAGTAGAATTTCCGTGTGTCTCTGAAAGATTATGGTGCACTTAACTGAATACCAAGCACTTGAGTTAAAATTGAGGAACTACCAAGAATGGTGCTATAATGGATTGATCCCATTTCATCACACACCCCCTTCATAGGATAACACAGTCCTTTATCTGGCTGTGTCCTCCCAACTTTATTTATTATTTTTTTTTCCTTTGCTTTTCATAGCACCTATTACCACCTGACATCTGTGTGTGTTCCCCTCCTAGTCTAATGTAAGTTTTTGAGGTCAGGGTGTGTTTTGTTTTATCTGTATCTCTTAACTTGGAACAACACCTGCTGATAAATTGGCAACCAGAAACTATTTGTTGAATGAATGAGTTACATTTCATTGCTGAGCATATTCCCTCTGTTGGGATGGGTTCTAGGCCCTTTGGGTACCACAACCCTCAGATGTTCCAAGTACTTTATATAAAATGTTGTTATATTTTCATATAAGCTATACACAATCTTCTTTATGGTTTAAATCATCTCTAGATTACCCACAATACCTCTAATAATATATGTAAATGCTGTATAGTAATACACTATATTCTTTAAGCAATTATGACAAGTTCATTATAGATGTAATTTCTCTTCAAAAACTTTGCATCTGTGCTTTTCTATAGATGCAAGAGCCATGGGTTTTGAGGATCAAATGTTTACCAGCTATTTTAGTGTTTAAACTTGAAACTTTTCTCATGATATATATACATTGTTAGAATAGATAGGAAATATTTAAATTAATATTTTAATCTGTATTAAAAATTTACATTAAAATATATAACATTCTTAACATAGTAGGGTGACAGTTTTGTTAATACAGTGAATTATTAGTATGAACAATGTTAATGTACATCTTTAAGATTTAGTTTCTCTAATACATAATTTGCTATTTGCCTTATCTTTACTTCAGTTGGAGAGAATTTTACTTTTCGGACTTGTCAGTATGTGCTGCTCTTCATTTTTATTTCTCTTTTGCACTAGGAGCTGGTAAATTTAATCAATAACCACCAGGTAACAGTAATAAGTGGTGAAACCGGCTGTGGCAAAACCACTCAGGTTACACAGTTCATCTTGGATAACTACATTGAAAGAGGAAAAGGGTCTGCCTGCAGAATAGTGTGTACTCAGCCAAGAAGGATTAGTGCCATTTCAGTAAGTAAACTCTCACTCTCTCCTCTAAGGAATTTTGATTGAACTTAACTGGCTTTTAAGATTTGCAATGATTCTTTATTATACTTAGGAAGTGTCCCCATGAGAGCAAATGCTTAATTAGTAATATTTGGTAATGAATACCTAAAGAGTGGATGATATCTCTTTCATCAATAGTAGATGCTCACAAGCTCAAGATTAATTAGTTCCAATACGAATCTAAACAGTGAAAAGCCAACAAAATGTTTATAGACTTGACGAGATGCTGCGAACAGTCTTCTTCATGGGATGCTTTAACTTAGGGTTCTTTTCAGTGGTCTGTTCCGTCAGCATTTAGAGAGGAAGCATATCAGGGTGGAAATAGACATTGTTTCAGATGTCTCTTTTGTTGCCCTATTGCTTAGCATAGATAATCTGTTAGCCTACTATTGCAGGAAGTGATAGAAGTTAGCAATGATTATAATTCTGTTTCATTTTCCATTTTGTTTTTGGTAGTCATGACCTTTGAAAATAACCAGCCAAGGACTAGGATTTAGACACCTGTTGCTCATAAAAGAACAATAAATAGAAAAATAAGTAAATTATCAGTGTGTACTTGATTTTAAATTACAATTTTCAAATTTGAACTGTGGTCTTCAACTATTGCAGACAAGTCAAAAAGAAAGTAATTGGAGGATCTCATGGAAAGAAAGATGTTTGAAAAATGATGATGAAATGAGAAAGAATTTGGTCTTGAAGGTCTTTATAAGGATAAATGAGAACTAAACAAAAGAAGTTGGTAGTGTACCATGCTCAAAGAAAACACCACATGGTTTTAGGTACCTAGGACATCAATAAATGTCTAGTTTCTAACCTCATTTGAAAATCAGCTACTTTTTAACAACCCCAGATTTTCATGACAGTTAAGTACATCTGTTTAAAGGAATTTGTATTTTATTTACAACTATGTTTTAATTAAAGGTTGCTGAGAGAGTAGCTGCAGAAAGGGCAGAGTCTTGCGGCAATGGTAATAGTACTGGATACCAGATTCGTCTCCAGAGGTAAACAGTGTTTCTTTGGTTCACATTTTGTATACAGGTAGATTTTAGTGAAGTGTTGAAATTGAGAGTTTTTCCCCTCTCTTATATGTTGATTCTTGTTATTAGAATTGACATGTATTTTAATATTGTAAATTATATTTATTTGTATGTATGCATGTGTATATGTACCATGGCATGTGGTGTGTATGTGTGTCTTTCAGAAGACAAACATGCAAGAGTCAGTTCTGTTTACCATCTGAGTCTTGGGGATTGAACTAGGGTCCACAGACCCCTTCATAAGTGTTTGAAGGACACTTATGGTGTAGGTGGTTGAGGATTAGAAAATGAGTTCCCCTAGAATTAATGTTTAAAGCAGTTTCCATATTAGTTAGCTTGCTACCATAAACTTATCTTTGAACCCTAAAAGTACCATTTTTTAAAATGTGTTTTCACATTAAGGAATGTTTAGTAGGGGATCATTATTCCCATTAAATGAGCTGGTGTCCTGTACCACTTGTCTAACCCTGTATAGATTCTACTAATGATATTTGTGTCAATAACTCCATTATCTCTCTCTGCTAAACTTCTTTAGTCCTTTCCTAGAACTGAAGTTGCTTAATCTGTTTAAATGAACAGAATTCTCTTTACCGAACCAGAAACTTAGGGCCCATAAATTCATTGAACCTTTGAATGTTAAAGGTTATACCTGTGAAAAAGAAATAATTTTAGCATCAAAGTAAATTTAAGGGTAGTTTTTCCCTTTACTTCATTGTGGTAGATGCCATTATAATTAAAAACTAAGTATAAAGATTGTTCTCAAACTTTTGTTGAACTCAGTACTTTCTTAGAAAGGAAAACCAAGAATTAATAACTTGTATCTTTGTTCACAGTCGGTTGCCAAGGAAACAGGGCTCTATCTTATACTGCACAACAGGAATCATTCTCCAGTGGCTCCAGTCAGACTCGTGAGTATGTTTCACTAAAGAAATAAAAAATGTTAGCAAAGAACTGAGTACTAGTTTACACTTATAACCGCAGTGCTTGAGAGGTGAAGATGGGAGGCTCAGGAACTCACATCCAGCCTTGGCTACATGAGGGACTTTCTCACCCATCTTCAAAGTTACATGAACACAGACACTTCACAGATACCCAAAGATGTAGTTGTTAAACATGACTGTGTTGTTAAAAATGGTTGTTTTCACTTTTAAACTGAATCACAAATTTCACATTTGTCTTCTAGGCGTTTGTCCAGTGTTAGCCATATTGTACTTGATGAAATTCATGAAAGGAATTTACAGTCAGATGTTTTAATGACTATTATTAAAGATCTTCTCAATTTTCGATCTGACCTGAAAGTAATATTGATGAGTGCAACGTTGAATGCTGAGAAATTTTCAGAATATTTTGGTGAGTAAAATTTGGTAACTATGCTAGAAAAGGTATCAGAAAAGGTAACTTCAAAACAAAAAAAAAAAAAATGTTCATAGTACCAGTTATAATAAAATTGAATGTCTACTAATTTGCTGTATTTTAACTGTATATTCTAGTTTTCTAGATGAAAGACCTAAGCCTGCTTTTTAAAAATAGTAGCATCACTTTTCTTTCACTATTAAGATATCTAGTTTCTTGGTGCTGTCACCAGACAATGAGGTGGCATCATTGAAATCAAACTGTAGGGATGTAATTTTTTCTTGTTTTCCTTTTTTTGGTTTTTTGAGGCAGGGTTTCTCTGTATTGCTTTAGAGCCTGTCCTGGAGCTCACTCTATAGATCAGGCTGGCCTCGAACTCACAGAGATCTGCCTGCCTCTGCCTCCCGAGTGCTGGGATTAAAGGCGTACGCCACCAACACCTGGCGAATTTTTTTTTAACTTTACTTTTCTGTGTTTGTGCATGCAAATCCTCTGTGGTATTTATGTACTGTCACAGGCTAGGTTTACAGTTTGCTAATGATAAATAAGAGTGCTCCCTTAGGAAGTGATGTCAGTGTGCTAGGTAGTAGTTAGTCTGTCTTCACTATTTTTTGTAAAATCTTTCAGGTGGATGCTGTTATTGCTTCAGCTTTGCAAATGACAATACAGCCACAGAACTGTTATGTAACTTATCCAAGGCTGCATAATTAACAGGGATTATCATTGCATAATTAAGATTCTGGAACTGGACTTGACTACTCCAAAAAAAGGCATTCTGTAGAATATTCCTCAGTGTCTTTCCTCCTTATAATAATAACAGAACTATTTTGGGGAAGGACAAGAAATTGAAATGTAGTATCAGCATTCTTAATTATTTTGTTTTTAAAAATGCTTATAAAATCTATCCCAGTTCATTCTTCATAGCATTATGATATAGTTGGGGCAGGTATTGCCTTTCTGGTTGTTAATAAGGTACCTAGATTTGGTGTGAATAAGTCAGTGTTAATACAGGTGAGATATACAGCAAGGGCAGTAGCTCAGGTCCTCTGATCTCTGGTGCTGCTTGGCGTTTGTTTATTGTGTACTTGATTTATTATGGGAGACAAATAGCATTTCACTGGCAGAGATAATTGTTAGTGAGCTTAAGATGGAAACAGTTTAATTTTTGATTAGTTCCTGTTTTAACTTTCTATCAACCCCCATTCTGAGTGTCACAAAGAGTAATGCTTTTTGTTTAGTTTGTCAGTAAAACTAGGATTTATCGTTTTACAATCTTGAATAGATTTTTAATGTATTTTGAGTTCAATCTAAAATGGTTCTGTTTATTATACAGTGTTATTGTTTAGAACTATGAGCATTTTTTATAGATTGTAGAAGTAAAATAACTACTAAAAGTAGACTGTTTTTAAGTTGGGTAGGAAAAGTAGAAGATATAGTGCAGAACTGTTTCTTATTGTGTTGTTTTAATGGTAATGTGTTGATTTTTAATTTTGAATATTGGGTACAAAGTCATGATTATGTTTTTGTCTATTATAGGTAACTGTCCAATGATACATATACCTGGTTTTACTTTTCCAGTTGTGGAATATCTTTTGGAAGATATCATTGAAAAAATAAGGTAAACATTAGGCAGTAAAATTAGTTAAAAAATACTAACATACCACTCTTCTTGTGTCAGATTTATTCTTATCATTTGTCATTGGCAAAGTAAAATCCTCCTAAGTCTACTTATCATGGATTGCTAAACTTGGCCACAAATGAAAATAACTTGATGTCTTAAAAAATCCAGATTTGTCATTTGTCCTCTGTATTTTACTAATAATTCCAAGTGTGGATGGTTTTTTTAAAGATCCTTGGACAGTAAGGTTTGGTTTTCTCTGTAGTGCTTGAACCTTTCTTTTAGTCTCCGGCCTGGTTTTCATTCTTTTCTAGCTTGTTGCCCATCTTTTAAACAGATTTCCCACTAAGGTTCTTGTGCTTTTCCCAGGTTTTTTGTTGTTGTTTCTTTTCAACAAGATCTTACTATACAGCCCTGGCTAGCCTGGAATTCACCATGCGGATCAGTCTAGCTTCGAACTCAAATTGTCTTGCCTTTGCCTCTCCAGTGCTGGGCATAAAGGTATCTGATACCATGTCTGACTTTTCCCAGTTTTTAATATTTTCATTGTATAATCTTGTCTGTTTCTCTGGCCATAGTTCTATATTTTCACATCTGAGTACTGTAGCTACAACACTTCCTAAACTCTCAAGCAGTTCTTTAATCCGGAATATTCCCATAGACACCTTATATCGGAGAGATTCCAAACTGAAATCATTCTTATTTTTGATTACTGACAGTTTACCACCAGCACAAATAAAACAGTGTGTCTTGCCAAATATTTCTCATGCTTAATGAGAATCTTCTACCTAGTTTGCTAGATTGTAAATCTGAGAAGATAGTCTTTGTCAATATGGCAATAATTTCCTTTCTGTGCTGAGTGACCAGCTTATACCACATTTTGTGCCTGCTCCCTGACACATCTAGCTTCTGTGAGCTGTGTCCCAAATGTCTTCTCATTCTTCTCTGTATAAGTGGGTCTTACTGTCAGCTTGATTGGAATGGCTTGTTTGGGTATTGTGATACTTTTTACTTTGTCTTCACAAATCTTACCATGTGAAATCCCCCCACAGGATATCTTTTCATGTGAAACTTCTCTGAGAAAAGTCTGACTAGGTTGTATACCAGAGTGCCTCAAGTAGCCCACATTTTATTGCCTCTCAGTACTCTCTGAGAACCAGTACCAGCCATTAAGCTGCCAGCAATACCCTTTAGCAAACTGAACTAAGTTGTATGTGTTCATTAATGGGAAAGGGCTAGGAAAGCACAGGCTTCCAGATGCTTAGTCATTATCCTGCCTCTTGTTTTTAGTGTCATTTCCTTGTGGTGTGTTTCCTATAGTTTACTAAATGTATTATTCCTATTAGCCAATCAAGGCTGTTTCTTCATGACTTTATATGTTAATGTTACTTCTTTCAGATTTTATTTGATACTTTCTTTTTAATTTTATCTGTAAATCATTAAGTAAGAAAAATCCCAATTTCCTCACATCTCCCACTATTTATATTATAACTTGTACATTGGCTATCATGACTGTAGTGTGTATTTGCCTCTTGCACAAGATACTTATTTATTTATTTTTCAGTCAGGGTTTCGCTGTATTTCTGTGGAGCCTGTCCTGGAACTCGCTCTGTAGACCAGGCTGGCCCCAGACTCACAGAGATCCATCTGCCTCTGCCTCCCGAGTGCTGGGATTAAAGGTGTGTGCCACCAGTGCCGGGCTGATTTTGAAGTTTTTAAAATCAAGGATTTTGTCTGACTCATCTTGATAATTTGTACACCACAGTGCCTAGCTTATAATACACACATAGATAAATAAGCAAATGATAGATGTAGATATACTTGTAAATTTTTTTTGAAGACTTTATCCCCCCACTTGTTAATTAAAACTAAAATTGATAGTGGAATGGAAAGAGTAAAGATCTACAATTTATTTTACATGAGGAAAAGTCAGCTAAATTTTGGCTAGACATTTACTTAATATACATTAAGCCTACACTTCACCTTGTGAGTATTAACAAAAAAAGGGAAGACCTGATATTTGTACGCCCTTTAAATTTGTGTTTTGGCAGAGGTAAAGCTGTTATGTAAAGTATGGGGGATAAAGTGTAAGAAATGAGATGCCATATTGTATTTAGATTTGGCAGGTGAGGGAAGCCGTGAAAGTTGGTAGAAAGGAAGGAAAGTATATTTTAGAGGGAAGATGGAATGTTCTAAAGGGAGACAGAACAGTTGTCTTCTGTGTTTTGGTTTTGTGGTCTGGCCATAAGCATTTTATGCACTTAATTGCATCTCAGTTTCTTGCTGTCTAGTTTCTACCATGCTATATTTATCAGTTACTTTGTAAGAAATAATATACAACAGCTTGACAATGTTAAAATGATGGAGTGTCAGCAATCTACATTTCATAATGAATTGCTTTCTACTTTTAATTAATTAATTAATTAATTAACTAATTAATTTTATTTATTTATTTATTTATTTATTTGCATTTCAATCCCAGTTCCCCTCCCTCCTGTCTTCCTGCTCTCCCCTTCTTCCTCACATCCCACTTCCCATCTGCTCCTCGGAGAGGATAAGGTCTCCCGGGATGTCAGCTAAGTCTGTCCCATCCTCCTTGAGGCAGGACCAAGATGCTCCCCCACCCTCATGTCTAGGCTGAGGAAGGTATCTCTCCATAGAGAATGGGCTCTGTAAAGTCAGTTTATGCATTATAGTTAGGTATTGGTCCCACTGCCAGTGGCTTTATAAATTTTCCCAGCCATACCATTGTCATCTGTATTCAGGTGTCCTATTTCAGTCCTATGCCAGTTTCTCAGTTGACAGTGGGGAGTCAGTGATCTCTCACTAGCTCAGGTCAGCTGATTCTCTGGGTTTCCCAATCATGGTCTTGACTCCTTTGTTCATATTCATTGCTCCTCCCTCACTTGGATTGTACTCTGGGAGATTGGCTCAATGGTTAGTTGTGGATCCCCACACCTGCTCCCTTCTCTTTCTGGAAGAGGGTCTAGCTTCTTTGCAGTTGTGGATTGTAGGCTGGTTCTACTTTGCTTTATGTCTGGTAATGAATTGTTTTCTTAAGGTTGCTGGAAGGCAGAAAAGATCAAGGAACTCTAGAGAAGGGACTGATATTACAAAAAGGTTTCTGTGCAGTCGCCATCCTCTGCCAGCTTCAGTATCTGGGGAGCTGAAGGAGGATGGTCTTTTGGGTAGAGATTTTTGTCAGAATCCCAGGTTGCTTCCTTCCGTGAGAAGGAAGCACAGCAGGAAAATAAGAGGGATGAATCACAACAGCTAAGTGAAGAATAAGACAGAGGGATGTGGAGGGCTGTGACTGCACTGTGAGTTGAAGGTTACCTCTGATCTTATGAAGATACAGGGGAGGGGACCAACTCTCTTCATATGCTTCCAATCAGGATCTTTGTCAGTCTCATGTTACTGTACCTCAAGTTGATGCCTTTATGTGTGTGTATTAAAGACTTAGGGAGACCCTGGACAATGGTACTGAATAGGAAAGACGATTACCACATTTTGGTATTTACTGTATGCCAGGCATTTTATCACCCTTTTTAGAGTCTCATGCTAGTAATGTGGTTAGAGTATGAACTGTACAAATCTGACTAGAGCCTGGAAGGTCAATACCTTCTGAAAGACCACAACTTGTCAGTGGCAGTACTGGGCATGGTTTCTGTCTGACTCCATTCATTCTCCCAGGCCATCTAGACAGTATCCTCCCTCTGAACTCTGAGAGCCCTTGGGGTTAAGGTAGCTTCGGTTTTCCTTTGCCTCTTGAGTTCACAATGCAAGTGAACACTTCTTGGACACATGTACTTCCATGGCTACAACACCATGGTGTCACTATAGCACTAGACAGGACACATACTGGCTCTCCCTTTTGCTGTAACTGTGACATCAGAACTATGCAGTTAGCATGGTTCCAATACTCATGGAGTTTATAATTCAAGTTATTGGGGTTAAATCATACTGCTAGCATTTTAGGAATCTTTATATGCTCTTACTTTCTGTTCAATTTTGTTTGGAAAATTTTTCAAAGTCCAGGTTGTTTTCTTAAGCTTACTTGGCCCTTCTATTAAAATTTATTTTGGAGCAAGCTTAAAATTAAAGATAAAAGTTAGCTCAGAAATCATTTTTCATTTAGGTTGTTTAGATGGCACATAGATCTTATATGCTTTAATGGGGAATACTTTTTATCTTAAATGTGAAGTTTTAGTATTAACAAAGTGAGTTAGTATTTTGCTGGAAACTATAGTGAAAATATTCTTAGAATCTGGTTTGAAATCTCCAGTGTAAAACAATCAAGTATTATGTAAAGCCATAATGTTTCAAATGTGGGAAAATACATTCTTAGAATCTAGTTTGAAATCTCCAATGTAAAACAATCAGATATACGTAAAGCCATAATGTTTCATATGTGGAAAAATACATAATACTCTTTTATTTTAGATATGTTCCAGAACAAAAAGAACATAGATCCCAGTTCAAGAGGGGTTTCATGCAGGGCCATGTAAATAGACAAGAGAAAGAAGAAAAAGAGGCAATCTATAAAGAACGCTGGCCAGCTTATATAAAGGAACTGCGAACAAGGTAAGTGTGTGCTTGAGGCAAGAACACAGTGGCTGAATTGCTAAACTGAGAATGTACTTGAAAGGAGAGAACCTCATTCTACCTGAACACTGCTGATTTGGCTTACCTGTTATTTATTATCCCAATAATTTTAACTTTCTCTTATCTATAGATTGTTTGTTCATATGCAAGCTGAGTTAACTTTAAGTTTTTATAGCTGATTAAGCCATAGAAAATTTACCAACCATTTCATGACTTTCTGTGTAATCTTGGTAGATACTCTGCAAGTACCGTAGATGTTTTGGAAAGGATGGATGATGATAAAGTTGATCTGAATTTGATTGCTGCCCTTATTCGATACATTGTTTTGGAAGAAGAGGTTAGTTTTGTTTAGTTTTTCTTTTTTAATTTTATTAACATATCAGAGCCATGAAAAACTCACTTTCCTAAATGCTTTTTAAAAAGTGGACTAGGGGAAAAACTCAAAATAACATAGTTAAGGATTTAACCTCTTAAAAGACTGAACAAATTATTTCTTGATTGTAAATCTGAATTTTTAAGGGGACCTGTATTCATAGAAATGGTAGCTAAAATTCAAAGCTACTTAATTTTAGTGAGGATTTAAGTGTGCATAGAATTGATTGTTGGTGTGATTATTGATCTCCTGTCTATATAGGATGGTGCAATACTGGTCTTTCTACCAGGCTGGGACAATATCAGTACCTTACATGATCTCTTGATGTCACAAGTGATGTTTAAATCAGGTATTCTATAAATGTATTATACTATAATTCCAAGACTGCTACTTGAGTTCATTTAGTATGTGTTTTCCTCTCCCTTTTTAATTAGAAGAAGTTGTTACTTATGGGGCTAGGTTGGCATAGGATTTGGCTAAGGCCTGTTGGGTTTTTTATTTTAAGAAACTGAATGTTTTCTAGAAGCTCTGAATCGTAAGTGAAGATGGGACATACATTGCAAAGCTTTTTAATTTTATGAGTATTATTTTACCCCTTCTCTGAGCTTCCTTAATAAGATTGAACTTTAAAATTAAAATATCGGTATTTAGGGACTTTCAGTCCCCCCGCCCCCATTGGAAATTTAATTAATAGTCAGAGCGGAGTTAATGGCTTCATAGGAATGTGATTTAGAGTGATGACTCCTACCACTATAAATTCTAAGAATTTGGGCAGGGGCTGGAATCCTGGCTCAGTGGTTAGGAATGCTTGCTGCTTTTCCAGAGGATCTGGGTTCAGTTCCCACTGCTCCACATCAGGTGACTGATAGCTGCTTCTCACTCTAGTTCCAGGGCATCCATCTCAGTGTTCTGGCCCTTACAGCACCCATACACATGGCATACGCATAGAAACACATACATAAATAGAAAAAGTTTTAATTTTGAAAAGAATTGATAAGCAAGGATATCAATATAAAATAGATTAACACAGTGTTAACTGGAACTCATTGGAATGCTCAGAAAACAATTGTAGAAAAACTCAATTTAAGCAAGCTTATCAATATAAAATAGATTAACACAGTGTTAACTGGAACTCATTGGAATGCTCAGAAAACAATTGTAGAAAAACTCAGTTTGGGTCTATGTAGAAATATAAATTAAGAAGTGTGTGATTCAGCAGCTGAATATATTGTTCCATACATGTACATGTATGTTTAATAGATCATTAATTTAGTTTTCTTTTTAATTTTCAGATAAGTTTATTATTATACCTTTACATTCACTGATGCCTACAGTAAACCAGACACAGGTATGTTTCTAAATTTGTTCAGTCTTGGATTAAGGCAAAATTTATAAGTACTTAACTGTGTATTGTCTATTTTTGAAATTAAAATGTGTCTACATTGTTCCCCACCCCCAACCCCTTCCCTTTCCTTCCTCCAACCCTTCCTGTGCACCACATGTAAACTGCTCTTTTCAAATTCATGACCTCTATTTCTGTGTTGTTGTTGGTAGTGTGTGTATGTGCACATACATTCTTAAATATATAAATATAACCTGCTGAGTTCATATAATGTTACTTATATGTATGTGGAGTTTTTATGGCTAACCACTTGGTATTGGTTAATCCACTGGTGTGCTATTCCCTGAGGAATAGCTCTTTCTCCTTCTCTCAGTATTCATTAGGTGCCTCCGGTTCTCTTTCTAGGGTTGGGACCTCAAGTCCTTTCCCCTTTTGGTGTTTGCATGTCTATTGATGTTGCCCTTCATCAGGTCTTGTTAGTCTCTTGATGAGATTTGAGAAGTGTTGCTTCTTTGACATTTCTAGGAGATGAAAGTCACAGCTAATTTCCTGTTCCTCTGACTCTTATAATCTTTCCACCCCATTTTCAGCTATGATCTATGAAGCTTAGGAGGAAGAATTGTGTTGTAGATGTAACAATTGGGACTGTGCTAGTTTATAGGCATCTTATTGGGTAGAACTTTCCCTTTCTTTCTCCCTTGGAAGCTGGATGGTGTCTTCTGGTACCATGCAAGCTAGTTGTCAGGGAGGAGGGTTTCAGGTCCAAACCAGCTATAGTCCTCTGGGTTCTGTGTCTGAAGTACATGGTGTCTTCAACAGTAGGTACCTACTTCAGTCTTTGGGAGAAAGCAAGGACAAGACAATAGTGGAGTCTCTTAGACAGATCTGACCTGACTAGCAACTCAAAACAAAAAGAGGTTTTCTAAGACCCGAGTTGACGTCTATGTCTCTGGGGATTGGTGTGTGTGTTGGGGTGGGGGGTAGCATTGTCATCCCATATGATAAAATTTCATTTAAACTATAGGTATGTTTTCAGAAGCTTATTGTATTATGTCATTTGCCTTCAAAGTAATGATCCATGTTTTTAAAAATACTTATAAAGAACCGTTACTTTGGAGAATGATTTACATAAACTTAACTAGGATAAATTACCAATCAGATTAGTTTTGTTAGTTAGGAAAGTTTGAAAAGTGGCTTCATCAGTAACTTGTTTAGGTTTCCTTAATCAAAGAGAAAAGCATATTAATACCACTTTAAAAAAAAAAAAAATCCAACCTAGAAGTGACTCTGTAGTGTATGTTGGTGTTTGAGATTTTGATTTCACAATTAGGGTAGAAACAGATTTCCTGTTTTACCTAATGTTTTACAACTGTTCTGGCTCTGTCAGATCCAGGGTTTTCTTAATGAGAATGATAATTTCTGATACTACAGTGTCTTCAGACCTTAGTAGAATAAAATGAAGTAGATCAAAATCTACCTTTCTTTCCTTCCAGTTTTCTTTCTTTCTTTCTTTCTTTCTTTCTTTCTTTCTTTCTTTCTTTCTTTTTTTATAATAAGAAAATACTATGACTCTTTCAATCTGTGTGGTGATAATTTGATGGAAAATTCAGCCTGTTGTATTAGAAGAATGCTGTGCAATGGAAGAAAATGAGGAAGACTGAACTTTTATTATTGAATAATTGATAAAGTGTATCTAATATGAAGGTTCTTCTGTCTTTGACACCCTAACCTAGTAGAGTATGCATATATTTGCTAGACAATATGTGCCTACTACTTACTGGTTTCTGTTTTTTATATGTCAAGGATAAATTCATTCTTTTGGGTATGTGTATGCGTTGTAGCAGTGGTTTTTGACTGCTTCTCTCTCTCTTCCTTCCACCGTGGTAGGGATAGAGCTATTTGTAGTATTTGGCATTTGAAGAGGCTGTTTTACTCCAGTCTCATCTCAAGCTAGTCTACCATGCTGCAGCACTTGACTCCATTCTGAGGGCAGGATTTCTGCCTTGGTTGATACTTCTTTGTTTGGCCTTGTAAATCTTGTCCTCAATTAAAGCGTTTTCCTTTACTTTATGTTCTTCAGCTTTTGTTATGGATGTGCTAAGTTGGAGTGACTCTGTTTGACTTGTAATATCTGTGGGAGCTGATTTGCCAAAGGAGGATTTTCTCATGTGGAAAATGTGTATGTTAATGATAGACCTATAAACAGGAACATGCATTATTAAAGAAACAAATGCTAAAATTGACCACACTATCTCAAGAAGTAGCATTGTAAAAGTATGTCAGAAATTAGTATACTGTCGATGTATTTATTCTTACAGGTATTTAAAAAAACTCCTCCTGGCGTTCGGAAAATAGTAATTGCTACCAACATTGCAGAGACTAGGTAAAAACTATTTTAAATATCAGCTATTAGTGTTTATATAAGTTTTGAGCCCCATACATTATTAGCATAGTTAAACCTTTGTTCTATAAGATACTTTGTAATCCCTTTTTTAGAAATTTACTTTTTAACATTAGTCATAGTGGCAATATAAACTAGTTTTGGGTTTTTTAAAGCTGTTCTACTGTTTTTAGTTCTCTTTTTCAAAGTGGACCTTTAGGCTGGAGAGTAGGCTCAGAGGTTGAGAGCATTGACTGCTCTTCCAGAGGTCCTGAGTTTGATTCCTAGCAACCACATAGTGGCTCATAACCATTTATCATGAGATCTGGCACCCTCTTCTGGTGTGCAGGCAAATATGCAGACAGAATACTGTATATGTAATAAAAATAAGTAAATAAATTTTTTTAAAAAGTTGTTTTTCTCTGGGTTGTGGTTGCGCAGCACCAGGGAGGCACAGGCAGGTGGATCTCTTTGAGTTTGAGGCCAGCCTGGTTTACAAAGCTACACAGAGAAACCCTGTTTCAAAAAAAAGTTTTGTTTTGTTTTTTTTTTTTTTTTTTTTTTTTTTTTTTTTTTAAAAGATGTTTTTCAAAATTTCTCTAAAGAATCATGGGAGCTGATATAGGTTTAGTCCTTTTGTCTGTTCTCCACTTAGGGATAATATGATTTTAATTAATTGCATGCAGCCTTAAATATTTTTAATGCTCTGTTGGAAATTCATATAGCTCAGTTGCTGAAACAAATTTACTGTTAAACCCTAGGCCTTTAGGGCTCTCATAAGGAAGTAGAAATGCTAAGAACATGGCTATGGCTAGATAAGAATGTAGCAAGTAATCGAATCACTGTACTACAGCTTACATCCTGACGCTGCCTACTATAGGTGCTTGAGTACTAGAACACTGGAAAATGTAAGAAGAGTAGTGAGAGTCCTGAGCTACTAAAACCCTATTTGATCCAGTAAAAAGTATTTTAAATAAATTTAAAAGTATTAAAAACCTATCTATAGGCTTGGTATAAGTTAGTAATCCTCTTGATGTCCTTCTGATATTTTATGTATATTTTCCAAACAGCATCACCATAGATGATGTGGTTTACGTAATAGATGGAGGAAAAATTAAAGAGACGCACTTTGACACACAAAACAACATCAGTACCATGTCTGCTGAGTGGGTTAGTAAAGCTAATGCCAAACAGCGGAAAGGAAGAGCGGGAAGGTAAGATGCAAATGCTGTCCAGAACCTTGAGAACATGGGAAAAATATGTGAGCAAATTATAATGCTATGATGTAGAAGTTTTAATAGGAGAGTTTCCTTGTATATTATATTGAACTCAACACTTTTGGAGCGACGGTATTTGATTTTAATTAGCATATAAAATAATCAGTTTGTATAATTTTTATGCAGTTGTATGCTTATACTTCCCCCTTATCCTTTTCCTTTACTCGGATAGTTCCTTTTCCATATAATATATACCCTCTTCTCTTTTTTCCCATGCCTGTTGCATTTAGACTTCTTCCTTCTTACTACTCACCATCCCTTTTATATTTTCATATGACCATCCACCTACCTGTCTAACCATCATCTAACTTGTGCATATATACATTTACATATAGGTTCTGTATAGGGAGATCATTTGGTATTTGCCTTTCTGAATGGCTGACCTAACAGGTATCATAATTTCATCTTTACAGTGGTCAAATTCTATTGCATATGTGTGTACATTTTCTTTATCAGTTCATCTGTTGAGTTGGTCTTATTGTGTATCTTGGCTATCATGATAAAAGCTGCACTCAGTAGGCTATTCGAGTACCTCTGTTGCATTCTGACTTAGATTCCGTGTGTGTGTGTGTGTGTGTGTGTGTGTGTGTGTGTGTGTGTGTGTGTGTGTGTAATAGCGCAGTTGTGTCATGTGGTAGTTCTCTGTAGTTTTTTGAGAACCCTTCCTATTTGTTTGCTTTGTGTCCTGAGTGCTCCTTTTCATTTCCCACATCTCACTAACATCTGTTTTCTGATGTTAACTATTATGAGGAGGTGGGATGAGATCTCAGTGTAGATTGTGTTTGCATTTTCCCATGTCGACCTATTGCAACAACACATTTTTTAAATAAGAAAATAATTTTTTTCATACTTTTTTGGAAAATTTTTGCCAAGTTTTTATTTCATGTATGTTTTCTCCAACAACCTAGTCTAGTTAATTAAGATTAATAGACTGTATTTGTTACATACAGTTTTTTCCCATGTCCTTAAAGCATATGTTACCTAATAGTAACTGAGTGTCAGCTCCTCTCTTAAATGCTGTATATGCTTAATTCTTACCTCATAGCTGAGGTATCAACTGCGTGTTTTAAGAATAAGGAAATTGAATTATAGAGAAATTGAATAACTCCTTCAGAGTCCCAGAGCTGTGTACATAGTAGAGACGGAATTTGAATCCAAGCAGCCTAGCTCTGCTATCTGTGCTTCTGTTCATTGTCCTTTTAAGCAGTACTGATTCTGACCATTAATCACCAGTGAAAACCCAAGGGAAGCATGTTTTCTCCATCGGTGTGGTAATAAGAAATGAAAACATCTGTTTAGTGATAAGAACAGTATTTGCCTTGAACTTTACACATAGTTGTGCTTCCTGCTTTTTTTTTTTTTTTTTTTTTTTTTTTTGATTCATACTTTACTCATGTTGGTAACAGAATAATGTCTGGTGTTGCAAAAAGTTTTTCCTTTACCTCTTAAAGGTAAAAATAAATAAATAAAAAGTCACCGGTCTTACCTATGGACTCATGTTAGAAAAGGAAAGTTGCAGAAAACTTCCCTGGCCCTTATATCATCCCTTTGTTTTAAAAGTGTGCTCAATCTATAAAACTCTGTCTTGTTTGCAATAACCTTTACAGTTTGTCCCTATTTTCCAATTTTCAGACAGTTTCATGTATTGTGAAGTTGATACTTCTCAAAGCCTGGTTAGATTGATGGTTATTTTGGAGACCCAGAAAACAAACAAACCCAAAAAAAAAAAAAAAAAAATACTATTGTACCATGTGGTCTCCTTTAGAAATATGATTAGTTTCTATGAGGTGAGAGATAGTATTAGGTCTGTAATACCAGAAAGATGTTAGATAATAAATACTGAGTCTTGTAGAGTTAGGCAAAAAAAAAAAACCCTGAAAGTTTTAGAACTTGGCCATAGCCTTTTGAAATATTCTGTTTAGAAATTTATTAATTCTGTTGAATCAGTCATGGCACTAAATCACAAACATAAAAGAATTTCCAATGTCTGAGAGCTCACTAGATAGAATACATTTAAATGTGTTCTTTAATTAATAAATGCAGGCTAACATAATGCAGGTTTTTTTTTTTTTTTTTATAAAGGATGCTTATAAGGTATATTTAGTATTATAGCTCTAAATCTGACAAGAGTAGATTGCTGCAATTTGAGCAAGGTTGGAGGGATTGCAGAAATAGGGAGCAAATTGTAAATGGGACTGTCTTTCATTGCTTTCTAAAACTGGAGCATAAGAGCTACCCAAAGGCATAGAAATGAGTTCTAGCATTTTGTAGTACAAAGGGACAACTGTACTTCAGAGTAATATATTACATACTTTACAAGGACTAAGAGAGGTGCTTGAAGGCTTATATAACAAATGCAAATGGACTGATCTAATCAATGAACATATATATATTCAAATATATTATTCTATACTTAAAATTATTAATATATTAATTGAAAAAAGAGAAATCAGAACAGCACGAACAAAGTAAAATTTGAACATGGGTTTAGGGTCTTTCTAAATAGACAAGAAGCATGAAATAATTCTGTGTGTAACAGGTTGTAAGAAATGGATACTGGGTACTTTCTCTTCCTGTTCTTTCTTTGGCATTCTAAAAGTTGTGTTTTTGTTAATGTTTTTTTCTTTTTAAGAGTTCAGCCTGGTCATTGTTATCATCTGTATAATGGCCTGAGAGCAAGTCTTCTAGATGACTACCAACTGCCAGAAATTTTGAGAACTCCCTTGGAAGAACTTTGTTTGCAAATAAAGGTATATTAGTTGGGAAAATTAACAAACTAAATGGAGGGTGGTATTATAGTTTTCAACATTTTTAATAGAAGAAAGTATAGTATGACCCTACAAAAAGGGCTTTTTATGAACTTCATTTTGCTTGCATGAAGAAACAAACTCCTTGAACAATTTCTGATGTGTATCGAACACTTGTTAATGTTAGGATCAGGAGACCTGTCTTTGATTCTCACTTTCTATCTGGAAACATTGTTCTGCTTCATTGAACCGAATTTTAACTTAATGTAAAATTCCTGTGTAAAATTCTTAAACCAGTGTTGGACATATAATAGTCAGTAAATGTTAGTTACTGTTACTTAATTTTTGTGGGTCAGAGGATTGAACCCATGTCTTTTTGCTAGAGAAGCTCTCCACCACTGAATTAACTGCATTCTCGAAGCCCCCCTTTTTTTTTTTTTTTTTTTTTTTTTTTTTTTTTTTTTTGTTTGATTTTGGATTTTTTGTTTTCTTGTTTAACTTTGAGATGGTCTCAGTAATTGGCTCAAGCTGACCCTGAATTGTTGATCATCCTTCTTCAGCCTGCTGTGTAGCTGGTATTATAGTCCTGTTCCACCAGACCTGACTGGTTAGATCTTATATGTGTGTAGTTGAGCACATATATATATGTGTGTGTGTGTGTGTGTGTGTGTGTGTGTATGTGTGTGTGTGTGTGTGTGTGCTCCTATTTCTAAGGTAATCAGTAATCAACTTGTTGAGATATTTTTTTTAATCTGATCTCTTTTCTCACTAGTTTGCTCTTAGAAAATGTTATATAAACATTTTCTTTTTGATTCTGATTTAACTGTTTTTGTCTCTGCAGATTTTAAGGCTAGGTGGAATTGCTTATTTTCTGAGTAGGTTAATGGATCCACCATCCAATGAGGCAGTATTGCTCTCCATAAAACACCTGATGGAACTGGTAATTTTGATTCTTGTATTTGGATTTAGCATGTTACAGTATGTATACTGGCTACTTGAAAGCTTTTATTACTCCAGAGTAGGGCGCTATCAGATTTGATGTGACACTTTTCTGGTGTAGAGATTGCAAGACTGATTTTTTGTTTATCACAGGTTTGGAAGCTATCCATGTAAACAATTTTTTAAGAATTTGGATTTTGTAGCACTGAGATGGGCTTTTTAAATAATAAACTACTTAAAATAGCACTGTAAATTGTTCAATTGTGCCCTTATATTTTCTTGGCATCCTCGGGATACTTTTTAGCTGCCCTCATTTGAATCAGATTACCCAGGGAATTGGAAGAGAAGTCATTTCTATGTATGATCCTCCTCCTTTTGCATTGTAGCACCTAAACTAGACTCTAGGGACTGTGCATTTCACCCACTTGTAGGGACTGTGCATTTCACCCACTTGTTGCCTTTTTATAACTGCTTTACCACAAGTGATTTTTTTCTAATTTTCTGGCATAACATTTCCAAGTTGTAGATTAATTGTGTTTGTTTGAATAAATCACTAGCCTTTGCTGACATTAGAATTTATTTTTTTATTGAAGGTATCTAAAACAATGCTTGGGGCATTGGGGCTTAAGAGAATAATAGTGGCCTGTATGTTTTACAGCTAGCTACAGTAGCTTTTGATGGAATGCTTTGCTAGGCCTACTGTAAGAGCAGTTTCTTTCCTTTCAGAGTGCTTTGGATAAACAGGAAGAATTGACACCTCTTGGCGTCCATTTAGCCAGATTACCTGTTGAGCCACATATTGGAAAAATGATTCTTTTTGGAGCTTTATTCTGTTGCTTAGATCCAGTACTCACTATTGCTGCCAGCCTCAGCTTTAAAGATCCCTTTGTCATTCCACTGGTAAGAAAGACAGAAAAAAGGCTGGGATTTTTAATACTAAAATTATTTACTGCTCACATGTATTTTTCATTATAATTTCAGTAAAATAATCATCATTATTATAATGTGAGAAACACTTAAGCAACTTTTTTTGTTGTTTTGTTTGTTTGTTTGTTTTGTTTTTTAGGGAAAAGAAAAGATTGCAGATGCAAGAAGAAAGGAGTTGGCAAAGGAAACTAGAAGTGATCACCTGACAGTTGTGAATGCATTTGAGGTAAGAAAAGAACCTTGTTCTGCTTATAAAAGATTATTCAAGAGCATGTTTTAAAATACTTGTGAGTATATTTATAGCTTAGGAATAAATTGTTTAGAAATGGTTAAAATTTGGTGAATGTATTATAAAAATGAACTTCTGCTGTTATACAATAGCTTATCTTTTATCTTTTGGGGAAAGTCTTAAATAAAAAGTAGACTGAAACAGATGATCACTTTATTTTGTCTTTCATATATAATGTTGTTTGTGTTTTTGTCTTATCTTCAGGACACTCTGTTAATACTCTGCTCTTACAGTCAGTGATACAGCCTTTTGATAGTATATCAAAATCATGTATATGTGTGTATAGAGTGTGTGTGTGTATAAATTCAACCTCAGGTTACATAATGTTACACACACACACACACACACACACACACACACACACACACACACATATATTCGTATATGATTTTTAGGGCTGACCACTTGTATTGGATAACCATTTGGGGACTTTTCACTGGGGAAGACTATTTCTCTCATTCTCAGTATTCCTTAGTTGCCTGTAGTTGTTTGTCTAGGGCTTGAGGACCGGTGAGATTTTGCCTTTCCATGTTTCTCTATGGGTGTTATCCATGTTCAGGCAACCTTATTTAGGCAACCTTGGTGAGACTTCATAGACATAGTTTCTCTGACATTTCTAGGAAATAAAATCACACAGCAGATTTCCTGTTCTTGCAGCTCTTATAATCATTTTCCCTCTTCTGCTATGATTTCTTAACTGTTGGCGCAGGTATTATTTTGTAGATTTATCAGATTGGGCGGCACACCACCTTTTATTTTCTGCCTTTGATTGTATGTGGTTTTCTGTAATGGTCTCTGTTTACAAGAGACATTTTCTTTGATGAGACCTATACTTTTTGGGTATAAAGATAAATACTTATAATATAGGTGGGAATTATGCTGAGGAGGTGGTTGTAGGTTCTCCTCCAGGTCGATGACTTCACTGGTAGGCTTCCAGTAGCAGGCATGTTTTCCCTCTTGTTGATCAGACATAAGTTCAGTTAGAGAGCATTGGTTACAACCAAGGTATGAATGCCACTGTTGCAATCTTGCAGATATGTGCCATGCATTATTTCAGTTCATAGGCATCATAGCTGGGTAGAGTTTTTGGTTGCTTGTCTCTCTTGGAACCTTGCATAGCACTTTATAATACCATGAAAGCTAGCCCTCAGGGAAGAGGCTTTCATTCAGTCCAGAACCAGTTGCAGTCTCCTGGGTTCTCTGTCCAAAGTACATGGTTGCCTTTAATGATGAGGGCTTACCTTCAACCCCTAGAGGCCACCCAGCAATAGTCTGTCTTGAAAGTCTTTTGGACAGCCTTAATCAGTAACCCAAAGTGATATTTCTTATGATGGGTTTTGTTAGACTATGGTTCCTGAGGAAAACATTTGTTTTCCTATGTGATAAATTTTATTTAGACTGTACATGTATATGTATACACCAGCTTATATGTATTATGTGTAATTTTAGATAGAAAAATAACAGGCTTCCTTATGACCTTCTGACTGTTGTTATAATGGTTATTTTACCCTCCTTTTTTATGAATACCACACATATTTTTAAATTACAAATTTTAAACTTTATGAGGTGGCCTCAGTTCCTAAGTAAAGAAGGTCCTATTCAGAAAGTCCTTTCCATCACCTGTATTCTGTAGGATATAGGCTGTGTTTTCTTCTGATAGTTTCAGCATTTCAGGTTTCACATTTAGGTCTTTGATCCATTTAGGGTTAGTTTTTGTGCAAAGTGATAGATACAGGCCTTCATTCTTCTGCCTGTGGACATCCAGTCTGGTGTCTCAGCACTAATTGCTGAAGATGGTTTCTTTCCTCCAGCTTATGTTTTTGACATCTTGTCGAATATTAAATGACAGGAGTTATATGTACTCATATTTAAGGCTTCAATTTTGTTTCTTTGGTCTACATGTCTGGTTTTTTGTTCGTACTATATTTTATTATTGTGACTCTGTGCTCACAACTGTTTCGGCTATTTAGGATTTTTTTGTGGCTCCATATGAATTTTAGTGGAGGCTTTTCTATTTATGTTGAATTAGCTAAGTATTTTGATTGGGATTGCATTAAATTTGTCAAAAGAATTTTGGTAGAATGGTAATTATCACAATGTTAATTCCACCAATCCATGAGCACAAGATGTCTTTCCATTTTCTAGTATCTTTCTCTTTCTTCAGAGATTTAAAGTTTTCATTGTAGAGGTCCTTCATCTCCTTGGTTAGGGTTATTCCTAAGTATTTTATTTTCCTGGGTACTATTGTGAATACAAGTGTGTCCATGATCTCTTTCTCTGAATGTTTGTTCCTGGTGTATAGAAATATTATTGAAAAGTTACTGATTTTTGTATATTGATTCTTTATTCTGTTACATTGCTGAACTTGATGATTGCTTCCAGAAGCTTCCTGTTATAATATTTAGGAACAATTATGTATACTATCATATCATCACAAATAGGAATAATTTGACTTCTCTCTATTGAAAAGAAGTGGGGAGTGAGGATAATAGGCCTCGTCTCATTCCTGATTTTGGTGGAATTACTTAAAGTCATCATTTAGGATGATGCTGGCTGTGGGTTCTTCATATGTAGATTATATTATGTTGAGGTATTTTTTTCTTAGTCCTATATTTGGTAGGATTTTAATTGTGAAGACGTTGGATTTTGTTCAAAGCTCTTTCTGATCTGTTGTGATGACCATGTGATTTTCTTTTTGTCATTAAGTCCGTTCTTATACTTTATTATATTTATTGACTCATATATGTTGAACTATCCATGTATTTCAGGGATAAAGCCAACTTGGTCATGAGGTGTAATCTTTTTTATGTATGTCTTTATTTTGCTTGCAAGTATTTTACTGAGGTTACTGAGTCTTTTTGTTACTTTTGAGCCTTTACCTACCTGGTTTGGGTATTAGCATGAAACTGGCTCTATGAAGGAGTTTGGGAATACTCATTGTGTTTCTGTATTTTTAATGACTTAAGGAGACTATAGATTTTGTTTACAAGTCTAATAGAATTCTGCTGTGAATTAATCTTGGCCTGGACTTCTCTAGATGGACGGCTTTTTAATTACTGTTTTTGTTCATCTTCATTTGTTACAGGTTGTAGAGCTTTTCCTGATTTTGGTGTTCTTGTTGGATCTAGAAATTCTTTGTATCTTTTAGATTTTCCAATTTGGTGAAATCAGATTTCTAACATATTTTGTTATAATATTCTGACTTTCTTTGTTGTCTGTGGTAATGTTCGTTTCTGATTCTTTTAGTTTTTGTCCTCTCTTTGATAGTTGGACAAATAAATGATCTTTTAGTTTTATCTTTTCAAAGAGCTATCTCTTAGATTTGTTGGTTCTTTGTATTGTTTTCTTTGTTACTTCTTCATTATAATGTTGTCCCTGATTTTTTTTTTCCTTGTCATCAACTAGATTTGGTTTTTAGTTTTTCAAACTTTGTTTCATCAAGTCATTTGATTATGCTCAGATTTTTTTCAAGTACTCAGTTCAAGCTGCAATTTTTTTCTTGTAAAACTGCTTTTCATGTGTCCAGGGGTTTTGTTATGTTGTGTTTTCGTTTTCATTTAATTCTAGGAAATTTTTGATTCTTTGACCCATTCATCATTCAGTAATGATTTGTTTGATCATCATGAGCTTATTTACTTATTAAAGATTTGTTTACAGTAGATTTTTAAATTTGATAACATTGTGGTCAGATAGTATTCATGAAGTTATTTCCGTATTTATGTATTCTATTGTGTTTTTTGTCCAAATGACCTATCTATTGGGAAAAGTAGGGTATTGAAACCACCTACTATTATTGGATCGATGTTAGTCTGTGCCTTTAATTCCAATAGTATAGTTTAATATTTATGGTTATTACCGAAAGGTATGTGTTGATTACAGCCGTTGTGTTTTTAATTTTTAATGGTGTTGTGCTGTTTTTGCTTTAGTGATTTCTCTTGGCTGTGCTTACTCCTCTCTTCAACCCAACAGATTGGTTCCTGTATTTTCCTTGGTTTGGTCTGCTCAGTATCATTTTTAGTTAGGCTGTTGATGACATGGAAAGTTTTTCCTTCTTTATCTATGGTGATTAACTTTGCTGGGTGTATTAGTCTAGATTTGCTGTCTTAATCGTTTAGAATGTGGACTGTATTGCTGTTACAGGCTTATCTGACTCTCAAAGTTTCCACTGAGTAAACAGCTGTCATTCTGAAGGGTTTTCCTTTATATATGAATTCTGTAATTGTTTCATGCTGTTTTTAATATGCTTTCTTTGTTCTGTATGCTTAGTGTTTTATCTATGATACACCCTAGGGATCTTCTTTTTTAGTCTTGTTTTGGTGTTCAGTGTGCTTGTTGGATCTGTGTGGGTGTGTCTCTTTCCCTAGTTTTGGGAAAGTTTTTTTCTGTGATCGTGCTGATGATCTGCTTTTTTAGCAGCTGCCCTGGAATTCTCCCTCATCTTTTTCTATAGTTCCAAGGTTTGATCTATTTTATGGTGTCACACATTTCCTACATGTTCCTTTTTGTGCTTTTAAAGTTTTTTTCATATTTTTTATTTGGTCTATATCCTGCTTTATTTTCTAGCCTTTCTGTTTTCTTCTTGATTCATTCTGCTTGTCAGGCTTTCCTTTGGCTTTGCTGGTTGGGTTATTGAGTTTTCAATTTTACATTTCATTTCAGCCTGAACCAATATTTCTCTCTCTTTGTTGAATATGATTTTTTAAGTCCTAGATTGTCTTGTCATTTCCATCAGCCTGATGTTTGTGTTTTCTTAGTAAGTTTGAGCACTTTCCTTAAGTCTTTACATTCTTTAAGTTCTTTAATATTTTCGATTGTTCTTTTAAACTCTGTGTCCTAGGGTTCATGTAGGTAAATCTCATGAGCAAATGGTTCTATAGGACTGGTGGATTTGAGGGACAAGATACTGCCTTGATCTTTCATATTGTTTGTTTTTTTTTGTTTTGTTTTGTTTTTTGTGATAAGATATAGGCAAGTGGACTTCTTTTGCTGGTAAAGTGTCTGATGTGGGCAAAGCATGTTGGTGCAGTAGATGGAATTAAGTTGGGTTGATAACTGGGGACTGGGTTGGAGTGCAGGATATGTGTCCCAGCCCAGGCTTAGAGTTGTGTAGCTCCTGGGGGTCAGAGAGGGTGCATAGAGGGAAGAATTGGGCAGACTCACAGACTAGATCCTGGCACATATATGGGGCCTGCAGGTTGATGGTGGATGAGTATGTCTCTCCTGGATTCTGGAGTTTGGGGAGCCACACAAAGAGTGGTAGTCAAACTAGGCCAGGGCTGTGCTCAGTCTAGGGGTTTGAGGAGAGTATATGGGGGACAAGGTCAAATGGACTAGATTCTCATAAAGGATATGCAGGATCTGGCTTGGCCAGAACTCATTTAATCTATCTGTTTTCTTTTCCTTCTTTAGTTTTATTTATTTTTGTTGGGGAAGTGTGATGTTGGTACACCTGTTACAGCATGCAGGAAGCACAGAAAGGGCACCTTATAAGAATTCCATCTCCCTTTTCACAGTGTAGGAATCAAGGAATCTAACTCTGGTTGTCAGGCTGAGATGCAAGGACTTACCTATTGAGCCATCTTGCTGACAACCCTTTGCCTCTTCTTTTTTTTTTTAAAGATTCATTCATTCATTCATTTTATGTGTATGTGTATCTGTATATATATGCCTGTGTGCCATAATATGGCATCAGATCTCATTGTAGGTGACTGAGCCACCATATGATTATTGGGAATTGAACTCAGGACCTCTGGAAGAGCAGCCAGTACTCTTAAGCACTCAGTCTCTCCCCCCCCCCTTCTTATTCTACATAAAAAAAAAAACCTATGATTTTGAAATTGAAAATGTATAACATTGAAATTTATTTATTCATATTCTTTTTTGATGAATACTTGATATACAGTGTAAAGATTTTGTGTAAAATATATAATATGTTATTATAACTTGTACTAATTTTATGTCAGTAACAGTGTTCGATAGTGGGATGATAAAGAGCTTGGGATCTTTCGTCATAAGTTTAAAAGTTCTTTAATATCTTTTCAGAGAACATGGCCCATCAGTGAATTAAACTGTTAATAAAATAAAGATGGAAACTGCTAAGTAGTCTTTGGTGTAAAGAACTATGTAAGTGGTTTTGTCATTTCTTTGTTCAATAGGGTTGGGAAGAAGCTAAGCGACGTGGTTTCAGATATGAAAAAGACTACTGCTGGGAATATTTTCTGTCTTCAAACACACTACAGGTAATACTGAAAGATTTGCACTAATCATATATAGTATATTAGTATATATATTTCCGTTTTGCCCAATTATATCTGTAGTAAAATTAACTATATACAAAGACTAATAGGTGTGTCAAGAAATTAACATTCTAATAAAAAAATGTCCAGTGAGCAGAATGGAACATGATAGGACAGCAACAGCCAAAAACTATGAAGGAAATAGCATATTTCAGTAGAAATACCTTAACAACTGTTTCATAGTATAGGGTTACTGAAAAGATAATTCATTCAGTAAAACAAAGAAAACAAAATGAGACAGTAATAGTGAATGGGGGATGAGAGGGAGGTAGGGATAGGCTCTGCTAATAAACCAAACTGAAAACCAAAGAGCACAACAAAACAGATACTTGTAGAAAGCAAATTATAGGCATAAAGGTAAGTTGTAGGTGTTCTTGATATGGATTCAGCTGAAAATCATGAAATTTAAGTGATAACTGAATGTTAAGAACAAGACTGATCCGTCAGTGCACTGAGTATCACTGCATAGGAATTATGTTAGTGAGACTTACCCAGGCTCTTATCAGTGACTCTTCCCTGAAATGGAGAAATGAAATGTTCTATGTTATGGAAAGATGGCTAACTCTAGGTTATCTGTGAGAATAGCATGTCTCGTTGAGACATGTCAAGTGTATGACAAGGCCCTCAAGAAATTCTGTCCTCTGAGTTCCTGAAAGCAGTTACTGACAAGGAATCAGTGAAGATTTCAGAGGTGGAGCTTGTATGTTCCAGGATTGACAGTGCATGCTGAAATTGTTTAGATACAAAAGGAACACAATGAGGGCTGTATGTAAAGGTGGTTTCCCTAAAATTATAATACTATTTATTGACCAGGAGGATGTGGCTGCTATCAGATTCATTTAGAAGAATTACATGGGGAAACCAAGCTACACCTTTTGCCACAAGAAACACTTGCATGTAACCAGTTTTATGTTTTATAATCTCTTTGTTAAACTTGAAGGAATTCCTTAGGAAACATTTCTGTGGTTGTAAAAACAGATTCATCTGTACCATTCATTTTCATTTCTCTGAAACTTCTTTAATTTGAGCTAAAGTTAGTTCTGCTTTATAAAAACTTATTTTTGAAGCAGTCTTGTTTGTAGCTCAGGCAGTCCTGGTATTCCCAAATTGCTTGGATTGCAGACTTGTACCACAAGGCTAATGTATCTCAAGGTGGAAGTGGTATGACACACCTGTAATCCTAGCACTCAGGAGATAAAAGACACACAAAGATAATCAGGAATACAGAGCCAGCTTCATACATAATGTGAGGTCAGCCTGGGCTGTATGAAACTCTCCTTCAAAATCCCAATAAACAAAAGTAAGAAACAAAACAAATCGAATTTCATCTTAAGCTATGCTTCTATTTCCTTCTTCCTTGGGTGTGTATACGTAGTAAATGTGTACAATATTACCAAATATGAGGATAACTAAGGTGGGAAACACTTTTCTCACACTGTACTGAGCCACCCATCATTTCTGCTTAACTCATGGTTTCTACTAAGAAAATACTCTTGTGCCAGTATGTTAACAGTAGTTAATCTTGGTAATTGTTTTGGTTTTTTATTGTTGTTTCTACTTGTTTTTAACAACAGAGTAAAGGGCAGTTCTGAAACTCATGTGTCTTGAAAAATGAATTCTTTAAATGTTAGTGGTTTTTTTTTCCCTTATACAGTTTTTTTGTCCCCCTCCCCCATCAAATAATAATTTAGGCTTGCAGGCTATGTATCTTAAAAGGCATTCATTTCTGTTATTAGAGTACAAAAGCAATGACAAAGAATAGACAGAATATAGTTGTGTTGTAATAAAATTTATTTACGGAAAGTTGCTTAGCAGTTCTCTCCTTGAATGATCACATTGAAGAACTGAGCTGGAGAGAGAGCTCAGCAGTTAAAAGTCCTTGCTGCAGAAACCCAAGTTGGTTGCCAGCACATGCCATTGGTGGCTCTTAACTGCCTTAACTCCAGCTGTAAGTCAGTCTGAAGTCTTCAGGCTTCCACCAGCACCTGGACAGACACATGAAATATACACATACATATAATTAAAATAAATCTTAAATACATCACATTTTTGTACTGATGTTTTTGTAAAGCAGGAGAAGTTGAAAACTAAATTGAAGTGTGCATGATTTATAGGCTTTGTGCACAAAGGCTTTCTAGCTGTTTGTTACTGTTACCCTCTAGATGCTGCATAACATGAAGGGACAGTTTGCTGAGCATCTTCTTGGAGCTGGATTTGTAAGCAGTAGAAGTCCTAAAGATCCAAAAGCTAATATAAATTCAGGTAAAGCAAAGCAACACACACATACACACACACCAGTGTAAATCACTTACCAGTGTAAATCACTTACCAGTGTAAAGTGTAAATTGTTGTCTTAGTATTTTACTTTTTTCCTTCCTCTTCTTTCCTATTCCCAACAGATAATGAGAAGATAATTAAAGCTGTCATCTGTGCTGGTTTATATCCCAAAGTTGCTAAAATCCGACTAAATTTGGGTAAAAAAAGAAAAATGTAAGCATTGAAGATTATTATGAACTACTTTGCAGCTCTTTCTTCAGCTTTGAAACATATTTTCAACTTTTGTTGCTGATTTTTTTTTTTTTTTTTTTGTGCTACCTGATAACTTAGATGCATAGGATGATGAAACATAGGGAATTGTCCCTCGTAACACAGATTTAGTCACTTGTCTGATCACGCATTTACAAAACAAGGGTAATAAAACATGGAACTTCTATAACTATTAAAGGCTGAGCTGACCAAGTAGTGTGAAAAGCAATGCCAGAGGAGAAATTGACTAGAATAGATTGTGTGTGTGTGTGTGTGTGTGTGTGTGTGTGTGTGTGTGTGTGTGTGTGTGTATTTTTTTCCTCCTTTTCCTTGTAAAGAAAGATGTTTTGAGATTCACAACCCTAAAACGGTATCCTATTGATGGTCATTCTCGGCAGTCTGTGTTTTGCATTTTTTTAAATTTAAATTAGAAACAATCTTATTTTATATATGCCAGTTCCTTCTTCCTCCCATTCTCCGATGCCCCCTACTGGCCCCCATCCCCCTACTGGCCCCCATCCCATCCCTCTTCTGCTCCATAGAAAGGGTGAGGCCTTTCATGTGGGATCACCAAAGTCTATAATATTATTTGGGGCAGAGCCTAGGACCCACTCCATGAGTCCAGGCTGAGAGAGTATCCCTCTATGGGGAGTGGGCTCCCAATGTCCATTTGTACACTATGTATAAATGCTGTTCCATTACCAAGGTCCCCATAGACTGCCCAGGCTTTCTAACTGTCACCCACGTGCAGGGGCCTTGGTTCCATCCTATACTAGTTTCCAAGCTGTCTGGGGTCCATGAACTCCTGTTGTTCAGGTCAGGTGTTTCTGTAGGTTTCCCCAGCATGGTCTTAACACATTTGTTCATCACTCCTCCCTCTATACAACTACATTCCAGGAATTCGGCTCAGTGCTTAGCTGTGGGCATTTGCTTCTGTTTCCATCAGCTACTAGATGAAAGTTCTATGATGGCATATAAGGTAGTCATCAATCTATAACGATAAGGGAAGTGCATTTAAAATAGCCTCTCCCCTATTGCTTAGATTGTTAGTTGGGGTCATCCTAGTATATCTCTGGACATTGCCCTAGTGCCAGATTTCTCTTTAAACATATAATGGCTCCCGCAATTACGGTATCTTTTGCTCTCCTATATTCTTCCACCACCTCAATTTTCCTGATCCCTCATGTTTTCCTTCCCCCTCTTCTTCCCCCCTTCTCTTTCTCCTAACTCCCTCTCCCTCCCCGCCACCCCCCCCCCATGCTGCCAATTTGCTTAGGAGATCTTGTCCCTTTCCCCTTCTCTGGGAGACCTTGTTACCTAGCTTCTCTGGAGTTGTGGATTGTAGGCTGGTAATTCTTTGCTATATGTTTAAAATTCATATATGAGTGAGTACACCATGTTTGTCTTTTTCTGTTTGTGTTACCTCACTTGGGATGGTTTCTTCTAGTTCCATCCATTTATCTTCGAATTTCAAGATTCCATTGTTTGTTTCTACTGAGCAGTACTCCATTGTGTTTCTTTATGCATTCTTCAGTTCAGGGGCATCCAGGTTGCTTCCAGGTTCTGGCTATTTCAAATAATGCTGCTATGAATGTAGTTGAACAGATGTCCTTGTTGTATGAATGTGCATCCTTTGGGTATATGTCTAAGAGTCAAATTGCTGGATGTTGTAGTAGATTGATTCCCAATTTCCTGAAGAACCACCATACTGATTTCTAAAGTGTCTGTACAAGTTTGGGCTCCCATCAGCAGTGGGGAAGTATTCTCCTTTCTCCATATCCTCTCCAGCATAAACTGTCATTGGTGTTTCTGATTTTAGCTATTCTGACAGGAGTAAGATGGTATCTCAGACTTGTTTTGATTTGCATTTCCCTGATGGCTAAGGATGTTGAGCACTTTCTTAAGTGTCTTTCAGCCATTTTGGATTCCTCTATTGAGGATTCTCTATTTAGTTCTGTACCCCACTTTTTAATTGAATTGTTTGGTGTTTTGGTGACTAGTTTCTTCAGTTCTTTGTATATTTTGGATATCAGCCCTCTATCAGGTATGGGGTTGGTGAAGATCTTTTCCCATTTTGTAGGCTATCATTTTGTCTGTTGACTGTGGAGTGGAGTGTTGAATTCTCCCACTCTAGTTGTGTGAGGTTTTATGTATGATTTAAAGTTTTAGGTAGTGTTTCTTTTACAAATGTGGGTGCCTTTGTATTTGGGGTTTAGGTGTTCAGAATTAAGATTTCATCTTGATGGATTTCTCCTTGTGATGAATATGAAATGACCCTCTTCATCTCTTTAATTTTAGTTTGAAGTATAATTTTTTAGATAATAGAATCGCTACACCAGCTTGTTTCTTAGGTCCATTTGATTAGAAAATTTTTTCCGAACCCCAACTCTGAGGTAACATCTGTCTTTGAAGTTGAGGTGTGTTTTTTGTATGCAGCAGAAGGATATTTTCCCTTTTTATAATAACAAGATATCCAGCATTTTCATTTACACTAATCCTAATATTTCACATGTCAGTCATTACTGCGCGTGTGTGTGTGTGTGTTTCCTTGTTTTAAAAAAAAAGGATATTTTATTACAGGTATTTGAATGAAATTATAATTTCACTCTTTGGAGAAGTGGAATCTATGTCCACATAGCCTTAGTACCAGTTGGAGATAGCAGTGAGGACTTTTTCTGCTTCATGGTTCCCTGATTTATTTTAGTGATGGCTTAGTAGGCAGGCCCTTGTTGCCAAGGCTGACATCCTGAGTTCTGTATACCCCGTTCCTGAAACTTATGTAGTAAAGGGAGAGAATAGTCCTTGTCACCTCACCATCACACATGCACTCCCTCCCCCACACAAAATAAACTACTATAATAAAAAAGAAAGCCCCCTAAGAATTCAGAGTAAATATACAGTTTGAAATTGAGAAATTTGATTGAATGGAAGGCTTTTAGAAATATTTTAAAGGGACTGAAGAGGTAGGTTGACAGAGTACTGTCTTTCTTCCATGTAACCCAGGTTTTATTACCAACACCCATGTGGCTACTCACAACTGTCTGTAGTTCCAGTCTTAGGGGATTCAATGTTCTCTTCTGGCCTCTGTGGGTACTAAGCACACATGTGCTGTACATGTATACATGCAGGCTAAACACATGAAATAAATTTAAAAGAAATTTAAAAATTAGTTTTAGCAGAATCTCTTACAAAATATTGTAATTTTTAATTTTGTTTTCTTCTGGGTGTCAATGGAAGTTTTTAGTTGATTATTTCAGATACTGTATAGGTTGTGGGTGATGGTCATAGTGATGTGTAGACTCTTAGAATAATATCCTTCCAAATCATTTCACATGCTTCCTTTTTATCCTCCATTGTGTGTTGTGTGCTAATACCATTAGGGAATTGTCTACCACCTATCTTCTGTGTTAAATTATTAAAACTCTAACTGGATTTATTGTGTGGAATGTTTATACTTTGCTCATATGCTTTCACCTGTCCTTAATAAAATGCTGCTTTTCTCAGTAGCTGATTTTGAAGTGCATACATTGCAGACATATACTAAACTCACGTGTGGTATAATTTTTAAGATTGCTTCCTTTGTTTGATTTTTATTAAGCTACCTATTATTTTTTAAAGTATTTTTTATAATAATGTAGAAAAGAATTCATGAAGACACTTACTAACTGTATTACAACTTTTTTACAGGGTGAAAGTTCACACAAAGTCTGATGGTCTAGTTTCTATTCATCCTAAGTCCGTCAATGTGGAGCAGACAGACTTCCATTATAACTGGCTTATCTATCATCTGAAGATGAGGACAAGCAGTGTGAGTGAACATTTAACATAATTGTAAATCTGAATGGCAGCATTACAGTTTTATAATTTTATTCTTTAAAAATTCTATTCTTTTCTCTGAGGTAAATTTTTCTATGATTAATATGTATTTTGTATATTTTCATGAAGTAATTAGTTACTTGGTTTATGTAGTTTTTCCTGAGAACCTGCTTTCAAGAAGTGCTCTCAGGAGTTTGCACTGTGTAAAGATTTGTTGGTATCACACTATATCCATCTACGTAATAAGTGTAGTAGTGGTCAGATTAGTAAGTGGAATTCTATGTATTATATATTGATATACAAATAAAGCTTCATTAGTTTTGACATTCAGAACATGTTCCAGGGAAATCATATGCTTTACAATAAAAATATAAAATTTGAGGGAGGGAGAGGGAACTGGGGTTGACATGTAAAATAACAAATTAAATAAATAAATAAAAAGAATGATTCATTTAAAATGTTATTTCTTTAAAATTAATTTTCAGAGTCTCGTTAGCAAGCTAATACTTTAGAAAGAAGCTCATCAATGTCTAGGACATTGAGTTGATGTGGTAGCAGTTCTTTCCTACTTCATCACTTATTTACATTTACTCTCTTTTTCAGATTTACTTGTACGACTGTACGGAAGTTTCACCATACTGCCTATTGTTTTTTGGGGGAGATATTTCCATCCAGAAAGATAATGGCCAGGAAGTTATTGCTGTAGATGAATGGATTGTGTTTCAGTCTCCAGAAAGAATTGCCCATCTTGTTAAGGTGACTGATACTAATGGTTGTAAACAAGTCAATATGTGGTCTTGGGGGCCACCAGGTGGCTGGCTCAACATGTAAAGCAGCTTGCTGCTGAGTATAAAGACCCAATGACCTGCACTGTCCTTGGCCCCAAGATAAACAAATGATTTTAAAAAGAATGATTATTGCTCTGTTGCAAAATACTCAGTAGTGCTGACCAATTTTAGTTTTACAAATTCTTTCTGATGTAGTAATAAACTCTTCCAAAGGCTTTTAAGGATTAAAGTTTGAATCTTTAAACTATACTTTTAGTTGCTTGCTCTACAGATATTTTACTACTCTTTTTTCTAATAGCTTAGGAAAATCTTTTTTGCCACTAAAGTTATATTTGTATTATTTGATGTCTAAAAATTCATCTTCCCTGATGAGCATGTTTGCTTCTTTCAACCTTAGGGGCTGAGAAAGGAACTGGATAGCCTTCTGCAGGAGAAGATTGAATGCCCTCACCCTGTAGACTGGAACAATACTAAGTCCAGAGACTGTGCAGTACTGTCAGCTATTCTAGACTTGATCAAAACACAGGAAAAGGCTGTTCAGAGGAACTTGCCACCACGGTCACAGGAGGGCTATTACAGCTGACAGCTTTCCATGATGGCCAAAAACTCATCCTGATGTCCATGTTTCTCGTTTTTTTTTTTTTTTTTTTTTTTTTTTTTTTTTGTTTTGTTTTGTTTTGTTTTGTTTTTTAGTTTTTGGCAAAAACGCCAAGCCTTGGGTTATGAATTGGTTTTGTGTGTAAGATAAAAATTTTCAGTGGGTAGTAAAGAGTTATGTGCATGTTTAAACAGTGTCGTCTAGCTACTGTAAAGACACTGGAAAAAGCAGTATGCTCTCTGATCATATACTCTATTGTAGAGATGTTCATGCTTCGGGAGAATTTTCTTCCATATATTAAGTGTTGTAATATTGAGAAATTCCTTTATGCCATTATGCAAAATTAATTCTCTGTCCATAGTGACTGTCTAGAGACAGTAAAAATAGAATATTTGGCCAAAAAGCAGTATGAAGTAAGAATTTTAATAAAACCACATTTTTTAAAATGAACTTCTATTACAAGTAAATTTGTTGTAATAAAGCCCAGTATTTAATAAAATGTACACTGTGTAAATCTCAGCTAACTTCTTGGTTTGTTTTCTGGAGTTCTACCTATCATTAGACTCACTTAGTTGTTATTTTTGTTTGTTTCTTTTCTTTTCTACCTTTTTAAAAGTGTTCTTATACCACCTTACTGCCCTGTGTAGCACAATGTAGCAACTAAGCACATGTCTGGATATGATGGAGGTTTCTTATCTGGAGGACAGGTAAAGGTTGTGAGGAATAAACATGCTAATACGTGTAAAGGACTTACACTTAGTGTCTGATGCATAGAATCCTCACATAGCTTTGCTAATATTGTCAATTAAATAGTTTTAATATCTAGTAGTCTACCTTACCATTTATGTTTTATACTGAGGATCCTGGAGATGGTTGAACCAAGAGCCTCCTCACACATGCTATACAACGTGCTGGATTACTGAGCCACATCCCCAGCCTATAATATAACATTCTTACACATCTTTACACTCTTCGTGGGGTGTGACAAAACATGCTGTTTTTAGGCTTGTTAGAGCAGCTGATTTTTACTGTTTCGACTTCCTTCTTGATTTCTTGTTTGAGCCCCTAACACTACCTTAATGATGTTGCTTTTCTCGTTGTAAGATTATCAAGTTTGGCCTTATTTCCCTCATAAGTAGTGAGATGACTAGGACATATGCATACTATGGTTATGGATTTGCTGACTGCACTGGTTCAGCTACTCCTCCTGTGTCTGAGTGTATGTAACCTGGCACTGTATACAAAAATTTGAATGTACTCCATCTGAAATTGGTTGTTTTGGATTGTCTCACCAAAATTATGTCGCTCCCTGAACTCTTATAGTAATGGTGATGTCAGTACTATATAGCATATTAGTTTTGCTCCTAAAGTCAAGGTGTGTTTTAAGCCAGTATTTATTCTCCACAGCAATGGAATCATGTTTCAGAACTGTTTCCTGTTAATGTGTCTGTCACAGCCAGGCAGGGTGGAGGGTGAACTGCAGGTGCTCTGAAGACCCTGCTGTCATACTAGGACTACAGAGGCATCCCAGCCTCAAAGTGATATGTTCTATAGTGTCTTAAAAACAGGTCATCAAGAAGGAAAGCCTGTGTGTTTTATCACTTTGTACAACAAAAAATAAGTCGGAAAAACTTATTAAGAGAAATTAAATACACAGCTGCATAATACTTTAAGAGCATTAAGTACATGCATATGATACCTTCCTAATGAACTGATCTAGAGCAAAAAAAAACTCTAGATAATTTTAAGTTAATTGCAACTGTATTTTGCCACATTGGTGAAAACAAAGTATACTTTAAAATTATTTCAGTATCCATGTACCCAGACTAAGTAAATGATGGCACATTTCGCCTCATTCATAGCAGTGAGCTTGTATTTATTCTTAAGAAACTATAATTATGTTGTATATCCGTGTATTTGTAATAATCCTATTTGTTAAACAGCATTTTTGCTCTGATTTAAAAAAAAAATTGACTGGAGAATATTTGAAAATGTGTCCAGTAAAGATCATGTTACCAGTTTGTTTTTGATATATTTCCATAGCTTCTTTAAGCTTTAAGGTATTATAGATAATTATCCAATTTAAGATTATAGTTTTAGTGTATTTTATCTACTGTGAAAAATAATGTAGCTAACAGCACCACAGTCTTGATGTAGAACATTCCCATCAACCTAAAATTTTTTCTTGTTGCTTTTGCAGACAAAATTGCCCTTGTCCTGCTTCTACCCTGTGGCACCCAGTGATCAGCTTTTTATCAATAGCTTTGCCTTTTCTAGGATTTCCAGTAATGGATTCACACAGCCTTTGTGTGACCAGCCTCTTTCACTTAATATAAAGCATCAAGATAACATATATACCCACTGTACATATAGTAATTTTTATTGTTTAGCGTTCTCTTTTATGGTTATGTCATTGTATCCATTTACTACTTGGTGGACATTTCACGTATTTTCAGCATTTTTGCTGTTAATGAATAAAGCTGCTCTGAATGTGTATACGGTTGTCATATGATTCCATGTTTTCTCTTCCTATGTAAATATCCTGGATTAAGATGGTTACATCAGATTGTACAGTGCCCCTTTTTTTGATTCATGTGTATTATGTGCCTATGTAAGTTTGTATGCATCACATGTATGCAAATATCCTTGGAGGCCAAAAGAGGACATTGGATCCCCTGGAGCTGAAATTATAGTTATTGTGAGCTACCATGTGGGTGCCTGGAACTGAACTCAAGTCTTCTGTAAAGGTTTTTAACCCTTACTCAGATAACTGAGTCATTTCTCCAGCCACCTGGGTACAGTGTGTCTTTAAGAAACTACCAAACTTTCCTCAAGTGGCTATACCATTTCTGCTTGCCTAATGTCTTGTTTGTACTTGTTATTTTCCATTGATCCATTGGTTTTTAGTTCATTTTTCACATTTAGTGGAATGTTCTAATTCATTTTTTTCTTCTATGATTAGTAGTGAACATCTTTCCATGTGCTTAGTTGCTTCTTTGTCTTATACTTGGAGTGTTTTGCTTCTTCACCTCATGTCAAATGATGGGATTTAAAGTATTCCTGTGTAGGGAGATTAGTCACTTTAGGTATGCTGTTAGTGCTTGTTTCTTGGCCTTGAAACTGATCTTGTGTGCCAGGAGAAAATGATACCAACAGTGAGGTGAAGGGTAGAGAATGAGAATAAAACTTGGTGTAGCAAACACCATGAGAGCAACTGCTTTGGAAGCATCGCACAACCATTCTGCACTGTGAATGGAGTCCAGCCAGTGTGGCCGAGTGAAGGAACATCTTTTAAACTTTCTCGTTCTTAAATTTGACTCATGTCAGGACTTTTCGAGTAAATTTCAAGATAGAATGAATTAATTTCAGGATGGAATGAGTGAGTTCTCTCTGAAAACAAAGATAGCATGGATAGGCAAGTCAGAGCTTTGGGGACTTTTTCTAGGCATTCTCCCTGAATTGCTGACCCTTGAACAACATGGGTGTGAAGAATTTGATGAATTCACTGACCTATCTTGGAGAATCAGTGTCATGAGCAGGTTTTCCTACCGGCCTGGTCCCATAGCCACGCCAGCGCCTAATAACACACAAAGACGCTGATTAGATATTAAGCTTTTAGTCTGTTACTAGTGTTTCTTATTGGTTAGCTCTGTCTTAAATATTAACCCATTTCTATTAATCTAAGTATTTCCACAAGGTCTTATCTTACCGGAGAGAGGGTCCGGAGTTCTCAGTCCTATATTTTGAATCTTCCTACCTTTCCCTGAATTCTTGTCTCCTCGTCCCACCTATCTTGCTTTCCTATTGGCCAACAGTGCTTTATTCATTAACCACTAAGAGAAACATATTTACAGAATGACATCTCCTATCATCTCTTTTCTGTCTAAATAAAAAAAAAGTTTTTAACTTTTTTAACTTTAACATAGCAAAATATATAACAAAACATTTACCAAATAAGAACCACAGTTAACAATATTTAGTCCATTAATATTTAGCAGGATTTAAAGAAAATATTCCATCATTTATCCTATCTTTGTGAGTCTAAAGTTCTATATGTAACTTGACTTTAATCCTAAGGAAAACTATAATCATAACTATCTGTTTTCAACTCCCATCAAAGACCACAGAAGGATAATATATAAACTCTAGAAGTGACAGAGACATCTCATTACCTGGTCAGTCACCTGAAGTTCTGTAATGTTCCATCTTCAGCCTCTAGGCCATTGTGTGTCTTGGCAGACTTCTCAGCAAAGCAAGAAATTTCAAAATGCCCCACCTGTGTTAGCAGTTTGTCAGTCCTTTTTCTCTGTGTCCTGCAGACTGTTGCATGAAGCAGGAACCCTGTAGCTCTATGTCCATCTTCTATCAGTCGACACTTTCCTGTGTGTCCTGCATGTCCAGTTTATACAGCATAAAGTCAAACAGTCCAGACAAGAGCAGTATCTTGCCCAAATGGCTAGTCTTGCCATATTGAAAGCAAACCCCATAATGTGCTTCTTTAATGTCGATCTTCCTTTCTGACGCAGGTGGTGTTACCAGGAACAGTTGTGACTCTACTGTTAAGAAAAACCCTAAACCATTTTAAATGCCATATTGTATAGGTCTTGAAAGGTTTGAAGAATGCCTATTCATCTCAAATACATCTCTGTATATCTAAAAAACAACACTGTAAGTTTTGACTTTTATAAATAACTACCTATAATCTGTACTAAATTATATACTACATTTCTAAATGAGCTATATAAACTCAATACCTAAACAAGAGGAGAAATAATGCATATCACAAAATTGACCTTAAATTGTATCAATAAATAAAAATCCATCCAAAAGCAAAGTATTCATATCTATACCATAATCCCCTTTTTACCTTTAAAAAGATTGGTTGTGGTCATTTATAACCAACTCCATTTAAATGAAAACAAATATTTATAAACAATATTCTTTCCAAACTGCTTCCTGCTGGTAGGGGGCGCTGTCATGGGGATACTAAAAAGATGCAGAAATCATGGCTGTAGTGGTCTGTAAGGCTGT